TTGCTGCTATATATGAGGTCTTGCAGACGGAATGTAACATCTACAAAAAGAATTGACATTGCGGATCATCTACGCTCAGGATTTTATACGAAGATTTACTTGTATGTCTATCTCGGACACTAGTCACAGACGCATTGAGTCCGCTGAAGATCTCATTAAAATGCAAAGCCTGACGGTATATTGGCGAGATGTAATATGAAGCTTAAAAACCATTGATTGGATAGGCTGAAGTAGTAGGGAAAAGGATAAGGCTCTCGGCGTTGACCAATCCCTGAGGGATGCGCCATGCATTCGACTTCATCAAGCATGGTTGGAGGTAATTGAATGCATATCTGCCCTTCACAATGACTTGTGGTGGCCTACCGATATATCAAGCCAGTGCTGCTATTCTTCCAGATAAGTTTGGTACCAATTTGCCAACCTCGAAGTGATGGAAGGTTTGGTGAGCAATGGGCACGGGAATCGATCCCAAGTGTTTTGCAGGGAGCCTTCGACCTCTGCCCACACGCACCCTTCAGGTTGAAGAAGTAAGTGTCGTAATTATAAATAATCTCCATCAATAACTGCTGATTTGGATAAATTCGAAACTAAACAAAGCTCAGCAAGTAGTTTCTTATTTTTAATCAGCGGAAACGAAAAGTGACTCTCTAGCTTTTTTAGGTCTCTCCACCATACAAAAAGAATTACCATGTTGGAATAGGACGAGAGAAGTAGTCGGGATACGGATCGTTCCATTATATCGCGCCCCAAATTTCCTGCTTGCAGAACAGGAAATTTGGCTAATTTCAGTAAGAACTTCTCCGCGTTCGTGTCCATGGGCTCAAACAGTTCCGAGTGAAGATTTATGTAGTATCTAAAGCTTCAAGAATTAGCGAATGCTTGGATAGCCTGCATAACGAAGAATCAGTACGGATCACATCACATCTTTTATTTAACTGGTAGCATACTGCTGGGTTAGTAAGATGTTTTCTCAGCAGTCCCTAGAAACTCATGCACGGTCTTTCCCACGTCGTCACCGCAAGTTGTCAGCGGTTATTACAGATTGGAGGGAGGTCTACCATCTTGTCTCTAGTAAAACAGCGGGAAATCTTGGTATCGGCTGGGAGAAAATATTGAACTCCTTCTCAGTTTGGGTGATGCGACCATTCTCAACCCAAGAACACCAGACAACACACACACACACACACACACACACACACACACACACACACACACACGCACACACACACATGCACATACACACGTACACACACATACACACTGCTACACATAAACACACACACACAGGCGCACACACACGCACGCAAACACACATACACACAGACACATAGGCACATAAGCACACACGGCTACAGACACACACACACAGGCACATATGAACAATACAGAGGCACACAGACATACACACATACACACGCACACATACACATACATACCTGCACATACACACATACACACACGCATGCACACATACACACAGGCACAGACGCACACAAAGGTACACACACAAGCGCAAACACACACTGAAATCAGTGTGCGCATTAAAACAAATGCTTTCAAATAACTATTACAGCTTCTTTGGATGTAGTTTGGAGCGTTAACGCATATTTCAATACCTCTTATTGATGATCCAAATACATCGCTCATTTGAAAATCTAGGCTGAACTTAGAGGTTGCAGTAGCATACCGTAGGTCTTCATCAACGGAACCAGCAATGTGAACAATTACTTCCAGAGCCTCCAGTAATCGCAGCAGTTTTAGGACGTCAAGATATATCTGAGCATAAGCAAAAATGGCTTCATCATTATCGTCGAGCCTCTGAATGTAAGAACGTTATGGACCGGGTAAGATTCCTCGGCTGTCTCATCTCGTGCAATTAGACAAGGAGAGAAAAGAGGTTGGACTTGAATTTGCTTAAAATACCCACTCTTATCTAATTTCCTTCCTTATCTGCACATAATTTTAGGAAGGATTGCAAACCTGAGTCATAGCTGCACAGGCTAGAGACCATATTGTGATCACTGCATTTCGATCCAAAATCTCAACTATGACATGAGCGAACCTTTTAATAGTCCTTCGTTGGATTTCGGACAAAGCATATTGGGAACCTGACTGGAAGAAGCAGTTTACTAAATTTTATTCTCAGCTTGTCTCTGTTATTATCTTTTCGGCTAATATATTAATACGATTCTTCTTATTAATGTTTGTGTTTAAGTTTCGCTACTATTTATATCGTTTAAAGATTTGTTACCTTCCCACATTGAAATACTAGTCAGCGGCACAAAGTGACAAGGATATTATTAACTAAAAAGGTTGGCAATAGGACAGCTTCCGGCACCCGGTCTTCCCGCTACGTTTATTGATAAAATAGAAGCTCCCATTCTCAATCTCTAACCACTACTGTACTGTAGACATATGAATGACTGTTTTGCCAACTTCTGTACGCAGGAGAAGGTGGACAAACGACATGAATTATTGGATGAGCAGTCTGAGTACATTAAATTCACCCACGAGAAACCGAAAAAAATTTGGCTTCGATTTCCCAACGTTCAAATTAGCTTACCAGATAGTGGTTATATGCCAAAATGGGACCGAAAACCAAGTAATAAAATCATCCTCGTTCATTTCCTCCCTTTCCACCGTTCACACACAAAGAGGGCGCTTGTGAGAAACATGTTTCGAACAGCTCCTCTGTGTGCACAACCAGGGAACTAAAGGAAGAATCGCGCGACTTGGCTCGGCAAATAGCCATCTCCGATTGTTATGAAATAGTAATCCCAAAAGATAAGTTTAGAAGGAAAGCGATGTCCCAAAACTAAACACTTGGCAAAAAGATAATTCCGCTTATGTTGCGCTTTACTAGCGACGAAGTAAGTATAGCTATAAAACAATGCTTAGAATGGGCAGCTCCAGAGGAATCGGTACCGAGCATGAGATACAAAAGCATAGTGGAGACGATTTTGATATAAAACTCACTATCCTCGGACCGGATACCAGAATCCCAGCGAGTAAAATTCTTAAGGTTTTTTGGGTCAGTGTCAAGAATCCTGGCCTGAATAGCAGGGAGGAATGCTCCAGAGATTACACGTGATCTAGCCGAGCGTCCTCGCATCGTCTTTTGATGTGGGGTGGTGCACTCATCAACCATATGTAACTCTAATCAGCTATTCTTCTCCAGTGGAAAACATGTAGAAAATAATGGGTTTTTTAAGAACCTGTTGATTATGTGATTACCATTCAAATTTTTGATTTTCTGCAATTGAAGCGTTGGGGTAATAAATTGCGTATCAGTATTTGAATCTTCTATGGATCTGAAGAACGCTTTGTTAGCGAAATGTCAACTTTAACGGAATAAAAGGTAACACCTCATGTGCTCAACAGGAATATCAGGAATGGTATTAAAAATCGACATTGATATTATTTCTCAACAGTATTAAGTTTCAGAATTTCAGAGGGGTTCAACTCGACCAAAATTCGAGTTCATAAGAAAGGCAAAACCTTCAGTTGGGACCAAAACACACATGCAAATCCGAAGATTCTCGTGGATGATGGAAGATACGAAACCGATGAAAAAGTGCTGGGATTTGATCAATACGTCATGGTGGGTTATGTAATGAAAAATATTGAGCTAATTTTGACAATTCTAGAATATTCGGGCACTCAGGTGGGTCGACGCTGTCATCACGTGTAGGTCACAGCACTTCAATTCGTTCCGTTCTCTTACAATCGTTTAAGGATCTTTCGCCTTTTTTCATTGAGATGTTGAGTGCTGTAAGGGCACGTTTTTCCTCGAATCTCAGGATAGCTTCTTGAGTGCATTTCCAGGAATTAATCGAAGGCAATCGCCAGCCCTTGTGGCTCGGAGGAAGTTCGCTATATTGCGACGTGAATTCTTCCAAGACGGGAACGATTACTATGAGCCATTTGTCCTTTCGAGAACATTGGAAATTCAATACCAATGATGTGAAACTGCTCTATAGCGTACTAATTTATGGAAGAAACCGACAGAGAAGCACCCTTTTTGCTATAAAAAGCGCTTACAAAAAGTGAGCACAGCAATACGTGCTTGTTTTTAAGTATTACATGAAGGAGAAGACATTAAGATATAAATCGAAATTGTTAGCGCTTGAATGAGTATGCACCGAATTTATCGTTTCCACATGGTGAATAGAGAGTTGAACGCCGCCTTGCTATTGCACCGAAACTCAGATGGATCTCGTGTATTCTTAGTCTTTAAAATTAATCCACACCTCTCCTATATTCGTCAACAACATCTACTTTGTAAGAGGTCAGAGGCCTACCTGTGCTATACCTAACCTCCACAATTGATCCTCGAAGGAGATCCATAGTATCTCTTGCCAAAAATAATGAAAATAAAGCGTAGCATTCTATTAATCTCGGCGGTCCTACCGGTGACTGCAGTGTTGTTTAGAAAGTGATATGCCCGAGTACCAACTTGCGATAAGTAACACAGGATGCACCTTAACGTCTTGTAGGCTGTGAAATCCGTACAAATTACGTCACGACAGTGTTTCGCTTGCGCTTGGGTTTTGTCTCGTTGTGAAAGAATGGAATCATAAGAAGCATTCGGTACTCCTTGTGTACACTGAGCATTTAGAGACCAGTTTTGAGCCATGGCGGATTTCAGAGACGAATAGACTTCACTGATGTCTATTTAGGTTATTTGGGGCCTATAATGGCTGAAGGTGACACTGATTGAAAATAATCATTCTGTACAGCAGAGTGGGAAACTATTGATGATCTCTACTAAACGATAATGTGAATAAATGTGTTATATAAGAAAATCTGAGAAATGTCGAAAACTGTCTTTCTGAAAAATCGTATGATGTGTTGAGAAACGAGCAGTTGTTAGATAATGTGAGACAAGATTTGGCGCTATCTAGTTTGTGGGAAGCTGTGGGAAATAACGAAGCAAATTAATGAAATTGGAGAAAAAATAGACAAGTGAATAGTAAAAAACAAAACGGTAAATAAACAAATTATTGGCCTGTTAATGACAAAAAATACAAAGTAACACTAGTTGAAATGAAACTGGGGTAAGAGTTCGGACGGCGGATCCTTACCTGACGAACAAATCCCGATCTATGCAGTGACGTTCCGAAATACTCGCGAATTGATATCGGCTCTCCAAATGTCATAAAACATCTGCCAAAACGTTTATTGAGGAAATTACGAGCTCTTATGAGGCCTAAAGTTTAAACTACGAAGAGCATCTACGAATTATGGTCAGAATTCAGAATCTGCTAAATAATGCTATTAGAAGATACCTGCAGTTGACTCCTTAGGTTTAGGATAACCGAGCAGCTCGTACGAGTACGGCAATTCCTCTAGCAATCTGTCATAGTTCGTTGTAACTGGCACCACAATCTGAAATATGAATTAAAGAAAATCCCATCCCATATTGTTATGATGGAATGATGAAAACGACATCCAGAAATTGATCAATTGATCTTTTCTGAAAATATTTTTAGCTTATAAAATCGTTGCAGCAAACAGATACCAAGAACTCACGATATCGTAGACCCTTCCTTTCAGGAAGGGCTCAAGGACCATCTGAAGGAGTCCATACTTTGGATAAACACTTTTGCCTACTCGACTGCGTGTGCCTTCAATAAAAAATTCCACTGGTCTGTCGCAGTTTATGATATGAGTCTGTACATACTCAGAAAGAATCGCCCAATACAGTTTGTCCTAAAAAAATAACATCTTTGTTACCTCAAATCTTAACAACAGGAAGGAGCTTTTGGCGTAGTGACGAGAATAAACCCATCTGTGGACCCATTAACCTGTCTTAGAAAGCTATGAGAAACAAGGAGGTCTACCTGTATTTTAAGTCGCATTTGAGATCTTCCAAAGCATGTCTTTAGGAACTACGGAAACTCTATCAGGAAGGCGAAAGTTCATTAAATAAATGAAATATGGCGGTTAAACGTTGAAGTAGTAAGACCTTTCAAAAAAGAAATCGTTGAAAATAATTAAATCATGGATTGAAAATGTCATGAAGTGTTTCTAAGCCAGCAATACCTGACCGATTGACCGCCTAATGTAAAAGGCTCCACTTCTTCGCAAAACTTCGCTCATAAACCACGAGTTAGTAAAATCCATACTTGCTGCGATCGCCGGTAGCGGAACTTCCTGACAAAGCTCTCTTAATAATAATACTTAAAACTTGCATGGCTATTCTCTTTCCTTTTCCAAAAAACTAAAAAACAACTTGCACAAGTGCTTAGGGACTCTTGCTCTACTCTTAAAATCTCTCTTCTATAGTTCTGCCGTTTAATCTCAAAAACAAGCAAGTCTTTGAAAACATAAAATTAACCGTCGTCCATAATGAGGCCGTCAAGCAAAATTAATTGTCTTTGCGTGTGTTGATTTGTAGTACTGTAGTGACAATGGGAAAACGAATTCCAATTAGTTGTGGTTTTGCAAGGCACTGCGTTATTTTTCAACGTTTCGTGATGAAGATGAAGCCCTTTAACACAACGGTGCTAACGCCTAATTTTGTGTGGTAGACGCACGGGATACCGGCTAATTTCATTTCGTCATTTCGCCTACGGATTTTCTGATTTTCCTATAATATCTGTAATCTATTGGTAAATAAGAAACTTTGAGGTCGGAAAATAGCAATATAATCGGGGTGAATGAATGGCATATATATTAATACATTTATACTTTACTATAGTTCACTATACAACCACGCTGCTGTAGACTTATGGAAGTTTTTGCAGTTTCCGCTGTTTTTTTTCTATATTGGTAAGTTCGCCTGTTCCATTGGTATAATCACGATTCGTCCTACCAATAATAAAAAGGATAAAGCTTTCGTCGTTGATCAGTCTCTAAGGTATGCGCTGTGCATTCGACTTCATTAAGCATCGCTTGGAGGTGATGGAATGCATGTCGCCTCTACAGTGACTCGCCGTGGCCTACCGATGTATCCAGCCAGTGTTGCTATCTATCCTCCCGGACACGTCTGGTACCAATTTGCCAACCACGGAAGGATGGAAGGTTTTGTGAACCTTGAGCGCGGAGATCAATTTCACATGTGTGCTGCAAGGCGCTTCCGACCACTACGCAACACGCGCCCTTTAATAACGATAGGAATTGAAATATTGAACGACTACCCGTCAAATTTCTGGTCAAGAAACTTGCCCAAAAAAGGTTCTTGTACATATTTCAGTGCAGAGTGGAGCTTTCCCCCGACCGACGCCGTTCGCCACATCAGTATTGGAAAAGGTATCAAATACCGACACAAAAAGTAAAGCAAAATAGCTCTTGCCGTAAAATAAAGGACTAAAAGCGAAATCAGTCGTTCATGACCCAATCTGGCTAGCGATCCGCGAAATGCGTGCATCATATATGGCTCATGTCGTTACCAATCTGTTGAACAGAGAAGAAAACATCGGCCAACAAACTAGATATCTTCATGTAGCAGTTCATTAGTAAAAATATGTCTAGGTGAAGTCGTAGATTCTGCAGACGAAACTTTGGGCCTGATACAATGTAAACGCTGAAGTTGCTAAAGATTTGTCGGGAAGTGCTTTCTTTTAATCTCTGATCTCTCTAGTCATTGGATAAAATCTATCGGCACAATGAACTTTGTTCGACACACTAGGCACCGTTTTTGTGGGTACCATTCGTTTAATGAGCGAGAAGGCCATCAAACTTTTGCTAAGGTGCCCTCTGTTCTTGGCGAGTCGTTTGCCACGAGCCACAACATCTAATGTGGTATAACTTTACCATTATTTCGAACCAAAATGCCAAACTTTCTCTCGATTTGGATGACCTTGCTGACAAGATGAACTCATTGCTGCAAACACTGAGAAACTTCTCCCAAGCAAAATCTGGTCCAAAACTATTATAACAGATTTATGAAGTGTAAGAAACCACGTACGTATTCAAAACAGAGGATTGAGAGAAGAAGAAAATCAAGATAGGTTCGATGAGACGGCATGAACACCACTGGTTCGCTTCGGCATATCTTGCGAACGCGCTTCAACTGCTCAGCGTTCACGTAGATCGCATCGAATATTCGCTAAATGAGAACTACTCAAGTGATAGAATTTGAATGATTCACTAAGTTTTTGTGGGGCTTAACAGATATCGCTATGAACATGAGTTTTCAATACTTGGTCTCGGGAAGTCTAAACCTGTGGCCTGTTGAAAGTAAATGTTAGTAAAGTGTTCCAACTTGATGACTTCTAAAGAACATGCTGAAAGTGGGAATATGACAGGTTACACAGCATATCTGTGATGTGATGTATTGACCAGTGGATATTATTCTTCGGAAGCAGAGTGCCGGGCTTTGAATTTATCTCTTACAAATACTGGGTTTTACTTATCCTTTCTAAAATGACGACCTTTATGAAATGATCACAATTCACCTCTAGAACTTTGGCAATGAAATAGCCGAAAGCGCGTGTGTTGTTCACTCCAAAATTATGAGCCATCATCTTCAAAATTTCCTTCGCTTCTTCTTTCACCTTAGAGACGGGTTGGCCAGAATGCACTGATTCATCAGCAATGGCTTCCTATACGAAGAATGATTATAGGCACAACCAAGAGCTGCATCTGTTTTCTTCTTCTCAAAAATTTCTGCCCTCTATCCCTCTATGAGTGCTCCGGTCTTAAAATATATTAGGTTATGAAATTTGTCAATGTTCAGTGATTCAGTGATAGAACGTATAACACCCTGCAACAAAGTCTCATTATTGAGAATGACGGATTCGTTGATGTTGCGGTGCCAAATGAAGTTTTTGGATCGGAGACAAAACGTTGGAAAGCTATAGAACATTAGCTTATCCATTTAGGCTAGCAAATTAGAGATTTATCAGCTTTCAAATTATAATTCACTTCTGCAGCATACTTATTAACGTAATACCGATATGAGCAGACGGTATCTGTTGAACTCAGCGATTTGCCGTGTGTACCCTTTTTATCACAGATACTAGTGTCCATCAGACAACTCTTAGAAGCGATAAGGACGGATGGAGACCTTACTGGTGTCAGTTCGAGTTGCCTGATCATTAACAAAAATGACAAGAAGGATAAGGTAGAGGCCAATAGTACGTTAACGCGAATGAATTTAACAAGAGTGGAAACGTTGTATTTTGTTCATAATACATTTGTTTGCAAAGGAAAAGGCTATTTCATTTGCGGAACATAAAATGAGTTCCAGTAAATATCTTTCGATCAGTGCAATCATCCTTCCTCTAACTATCCGGAATATATGGTTATTCTAAATGCAACATACGTTGTACGGCGAAAAGTCCATCTCCAAGCAACGTCGTACAGACACAAAGTTAGGGAATTTTACTAAGATGCCTAGGTAAGAGAGTGGTAGTGACAAAAATCTTGTCTTAGAAAGGTAATTCCCTTACAGTCACTGATTACGGTGACGATTTGTGAATGCCCTTGCATAGCTATTTTAGGAACATAGAAGTTCTAACACCCATTTCAATGAAAATAAGAAAGAGAACATTGCACTATTTAAGACAAGATGGAGAAAATATTAACTAATCTAGAACACAACGGAAAGTGACAAAGGTTGACCACCAATGAACGACGAAAAAATATAAATCAGCTTCTGATTGGCGATACCCTTGAAAGAAAACTACGAAATTTGAAGCAAAAGTTAGTTTACCGAGACTCTGGCTGAATTCAGTACATCCGAGAAGATTTCGTGGTAAGTCCTTGGGTTAGAGTTCAGTGGAAAATCTCGTTTCTGTGTAACGAATTTCAGGCAACCCTTCTGTCGGAGCTCGTACAACCAGTCCACGTACTCTGGGAATGAGATCCGGCGTCCCGTCATCTCTGGAAAATTTTCACATGAAAGGGCGGCTATGTTGTGAAGCAGCCTGATTTTTTATCTGGAAAATTCTGCACAGCCTTTCCCTGTGCGCTTCTAAAATGTACTATTGTGATTTTTTCAGAGTTTTCAGGCTTTTTGACGAATACTTCCGCCTCAAGCGTATTTTGCTAAGTTAAAAGTAAAGCTCACTACATTAAATAAGGGTTATAATAAAACATAATAAAGAGCAATAGACAGACTTAACGCATTTATTGCATAGTTGGTGGCTATTGCAAGTTATAATCACTTCGACTCAAAAAAACGTTTTATTTGTACTTTGCATCGAATCAAATCCATGTAATGGGCCCAACCACCAATGGAATACAACTCGAATGTTGAATGAAAGGATGAAAGGATGAAACTCTGGGCGTTGATCATTCCCTTAAGAAAGAGGCATTCATTCGACTTCATTGAGCATTGTTCGGAGGTGACTGAATGCATATCTGGCCTTTACAATGACTCGTGATGGCCTAACGATGTATAGAGGCAGTGGTGCTCTTCTCCCAGAGAAGTCTGGTACCAATACGCCGAACCCGGAGGGACGGAGGGCTAGGTGGACCTTAGACACGGAGACTGCGCTAGATGCGCTCTTCGAATGTTGCATAAAAGTAGAAAACAGTAGACAAGCAACGCCTATTGTCTACGTGTTAAAAGGTATCCATATACAGTAAAAAAAAAAAACAAGACAAAAATATCATGCCAACACTTTCCATTCTCTATGAGAAAAAAGAGGCAAAGAAAAGAAAACGGCTGAATAATCGCTGAGGATTCCCTTATCAGACACGATAAGGAAGGAGCAAAAACTGAGAAGAACACGTCAATTGTGTAAAATATGAAAAACTGAGTAAGTGAATCGGCTTTCCCATCACTTTAACAACTCCACTGTTGAAAGAGGGCGAAACGTTCTGATAAGTCAAATTAGCTGTAGTGTAAATGAATGTGTAATCAGTGTGATTTTTGAAATTGATGAGTGGCAAGAAGTATTCTGTTCATAAGGGGTTGATGACGGATGTTACGAAGCTAGACATCCACCACCAGAATTGAGAGAACCGGCAGAGAACTGCTCCAGACGCGTCCCAAGCGAGTGCTGTCTCTTATCGGGCAGCGTGTGTCGCAGAAAAACAATCCAGCAGAACATTCGCGAAAGGCAACAGCATCGAATTCAAACTGGTTGGCTCTCCTTGCACTATAAGAAATATATTTCGTGTCAGTACATGAAAGAGAACCTACTCAAGATTCGAACTTGTGTTCATGTAAAGGCTTTCAAAGCAGATTGAGCTGTTTCTTTCAAGCACTTTAAAACCTTCTCTATCACAAGTTTCTCTGATTGAACGAGTTCTGAATTATTGAACAACGCTTTCAAACCTGGCGTCGTTTAGAATGAAGAACATTGCTGAGGTAATCAAGTGGAGTACGTCATCTGCTATTCCGAAAGAGTTTCCATTTCTGCTAAATGGATTTCCTTGGTCAGAAAACTTTTTCAGGATAATTAAACAGAATTTTCCGTAAGAAACTTTCGTCAGGTGTATTGAAAATCTCCAATATTGGACGTAAAATTCACCAGAGGTCAGTGCAAGCATGATAAGATTAGAAAGCAAATAAAATCGTCGAAAACAACGAATCATATTCAAATTTTTCCATAACAGGATTTTCGTTTCCCTTCACCATTGCCGAGCTCGGGGATACAATGGCCTAATTGGCAAAATGAGTAGTCGAACCAATGACCGTGAGTGCACCTTATGGCACCTCTAACAATTGCTTTACGTGCTTTTTAAACTGAGCTTCAAGCACATTCTTTCAAATGATTATTAGAGACCAACAAATTGCATTTGTATATTTCAAAGCGGTTCATACTTGGCCCCCATTCTAAAGCTTCTTAATAGTCTATTACATTGAACAATAAGGGTAGCTGTAACATTCGTCCAGTCGAGTTGCTATTTATAGCGGGGTTCCATACCACCACCATGGATTCCCAAGCTCAGAAGGTGTTTTACATCTGCATCTCAAAGGAGAAAACGTACGCCAGGCACAGCCCAACAGGCTGCAAGATATAAATTCTCGCTAAAGAGAACGAAAAAAGTGTCATTTCAAGTGTGATGTGCTTCGTTTCGCCCATGACAAGGAGGTACACTTAACAGCTCCAGCTGAAGACAACGGAATTTGCTGCTTTACCTCGAGTTATTCGATATTTGTTCAATATTTGAGTGCATTAGCTATGTTTCCCAAGGTTTGGCAGTGTAACTCGTGGACCGAGTGCACACTGGTCCACTGCAGTCTATGTTTCATGCTTTGGCGATGAAAGCTAAACCTGCTTGGCCCTTCTTGGAGTCGGCTTCTTTTCAAAAACACTGTCATTCTTGAATATGTCCTACGTTTTGTTTACCTGATTGGAAATCTCGTGCGTAATTAATCTTGAAGTCTGTAAACTGTTTTTCCAAAAAGTACGATGCTTTCAACTGGAAAAATTAGCACATTACATTGGGCACAATCACTTCGTGAAAATTTTTATTTATAGGACAACAAGAACAAACAGGACACAGCCATAATATAGTCAGGCAAGAGATGATTTTTAAAGGCGCTCGTAACTTGGCAAGAGTGAGCGTTGACACCAACAGATGCTTTCCACTTCTTTCAAGCATGTGAGGACAACGGACCGATGAATCTTTCACCACTCGATGCTCAGTTGAAATAAGCTTGACCTCAGTCGAGCTTTACAATAGAGGGTCAATACGCTGGAGAGCCAGAAAATATTCGCGGCGTTGACAAGAAAATCAGAGACGTCGTGGCGACAATGAGTAGTGTAAACAAGAACAACGACAATCGATCGATCACCATAGCCATGAATTTCCAATCCGCTTGTAGATCCGAATCTCGATCTTCTTCGTCAAAGCGGTTCTGAATAAAAACTCTTAAGAGTCCTTATTTTGATATCTATGCCTACTAGTGTTTGCATGCTGCTGGTTTCCTTGTCCGCAGTAGTCTGCTACGCGTTTGGCCGACGATGTACTCACGTCCAGGCCGGCTACCAGTAATGACTAAGAGAAGCATACATGTTCGTCGCCGGTTTTACAGTGTTCGCATTAAGACTTTAGTGATCAAGCGTGAAACCGACCTTTAGATTAGTGGTGTTGCAAAATCGGCACGTGTAGTGTGTTGAAATGTAGGCGAATAGTTTATAAAATTGTGGAGTCACCGGACAAAGTGGTAAGAAAAATGCTCTTGTCTGCTATCTCAACGATACCTTGAACGAGTTCAGCAAGAAGATTATTTCTCGAATTCCCATGCTGATTGAGTTATTGTCGAGTATGCACTCCGTACTTTGCATCAAAAGAGGTCGCGCCGCTAAAAATTGTACAATTACGAAGCAGCTACCTGTTTAGATCTGAATTTATGAGGTAGTACTTGAAAACAGGTTTTATTTATTTATTTATTTATTTACTTATTTATTTGTATTTTTGTTTAACCTGTCTTCACGCCTACTGTGCAGATCCCAACACTCCTCACATTTAATTCGTTTCCTCGCATCCATTGTCCAGGAAGACCTTCCAACTTTATAGCTTCGGTTGCTGCTTGAGGATTTTCGTTTCATCTTGAATGTCGTAGAATACTGGTCGAGAAATTCTTCCTGGAGCGCTGAGATAGCCGGACTGGAGCGTTCCCAATTGGATTACAGAGTGAATTTTTCTCAGACAAGTCCAGTACCAGTTTCCCGACCCCAAAGGGATGAGAAGTTTAGTTGGCTTGGAGCGGAATTGAACTAGCACCATGATCGTGATGATAGGCTTCACCACCACTGTGCTGTCCGCCCCTAAAGCAAGCTTCATTTATGTCGGAACAATATGGAAGTTCCAAAAACATTTGTTTAGAAGCAATTGTAAAGATTGCGATTGCAAATTCCTCATGTAATGTTTTTGAGGAATTCCCAACGTTGGAATTACCACTCGAAAGTTCCAGCCAGTAAACCATCATGGAAACCTGATCATGCTGGCAGTTCCAGTTTCCATAACGTTTGTGCAGGTGGCTGTGAATAATTTTAGTAAAATAGTCTAGCCTTTTTGAAAACCTTTCTTAACGTCGACGTTTTTGTCGTTTTCGAATGGTGAAATCCTGGTTGTTAAGTTGTTTTGCAACCCATGAAGAATCTTTTTGCATTGAATTAGTAAGAAATACTTGTTTAGAACTTCCATGAGCGATTATTTCCCAACTGAGCCAGTGGTCGCTTATAAGTCGATAAAAGTAAGGCGTCTCTTGTATTCTCGCGACTTCAGTGAGTATCACTGTCGCGTGGATGCCGCTTATATATATTGAATCATTTTCGAAGCCCTGCTCGTCCAGTGTCCGTCATTTCAGTTGAGAATGACTCGAGTGAGAGCTTTTTGGACAACAGACAGTGAGCAGACTGGGAATAGTTGTCGATGTTACTGGTGTCTCTCTGTTTGTGAAACAACATGGTCTTGCTGGTCTTCCACTGATTACGAACATTGCATTCTAATAAGCAACGTGTCAATAGAGGAGTCAGTTTTCTTATGAGGATTTGAGGTGGATTCCTTAGACGTTTGTGTCTAATCATGGGTACAGAAGACAAAAGCAATGAATGAGTTACTTAATTCGTTTGCGAAAGCAGCGACTGCTCCATCTAGGTGCTTGGGGGTGATCATACTAGCTTCGTGCTTGGCGAAGCGGTGTTTACTGTTTGCCACCTCTGCTGGTTCAACCTATTAGTCTTACCTCTCAAACCAATTTTTTGCAGTTTCGCCAGTTTTCACATAATTTGGTGATTGCCTACGATGAATGCGATTCCACATTTAGTTATCAGCTTGTGTGTTTCTAGAGACAAAAGTCTTTTGAGACCCTTCGAACTCTTGGCTTTTTAGCATCAGCATAAATGGCTTGGATAAGACATTCGTTTTCTTCACCGACGTTGACAACGGCAGCTTCCCAATAGCTCATTAGGGGTTTGAACAAACCACAATTTAGTTTGGTTCTGCTATTTCGTTCCTCAAACTTTACGACTTTCCTTCCTTTTACTGGGTAAAAAAGAATTTTGCGCGGAGCAAGCGATGGTCCAATCCGTCTAAAATTTTAGGATAACAACGACATTGACCGACTTGCTATGATGCGGTCTACTTTAAAATGTTCTCTATTGAGTAACGCATACGGCCAACGATGATAGGAGGATTTCCGGAGTTGTAATCCATGGATACTTATGTTAATTCTGAAGAACTCGCATGTGGAAAAAAAATCGGGTTGACGAATTAAGGTCCAACTTGATAGATTATCCAGTTTCACAGCCATCCGTGTTCTGACAGGTATCGGTTCTGTAGGAAAATCACAATGCCACTGTCAAGTGATTCGCCAAGAAACTTTATGAGTTATTCTTCGGTCATACAGTTTTTTCACAGAGCAGTCACGTCCGAAGCGCTTCTGTGGCATACAGTAGTCAAAATGTCAAAGTATTCATTATTTTACTTTGTTACATGACCCAGCCTTCACATCTAGTGTGCGGATCTTAGCACTTCTCGCAATCGATTCGTTTCCTCGTATCCATCATCGACGAAGGTCAACATTTTGCACATGGGTTCGGCTGCTGTTTGAGGATTTTCCTTTCGTCATGATTAGCGTTGGAAGCTGGTCGAATTGATTCTCTCTGAAGCTCTGAGATGGGGGATCAGAGCGTTTTCACTTGGATTGCAGAGGCTGAAGTTTCCCCAGACACGTTTAGTAGCAATTTCCCGACTAGGGAAGGATGAGAGGCTGGATGAGCCCGATTAGGAATCAAACCAGCACGGTGCTCGTGATGAAGAGCATCACTACCACTGTGCTACCTGTCACCTTGTGAGAATGCTTATGGTTTTTTAAATCCATTTTCGGAAATTTCTAAAGTCTCACTCCGCATTTTCAGTGAAAATGCTCAAAAGACTAGTGATTCCTCGTATTCAGTTTTCAAGAACAGCTGTGATAATGAACTTTTTCAAAAAGTTTGCAATGAAGAAGCCTAATACAAGCCTAATTTGAACCTCTGACCAACCTTTACCACCCTCCAAACGACGGATGTTCGCGTTTAGAAATTGCGCCTTCTCATCGTCGTTTATTAGAACCACTTGCTCTCTGGTAGTTTTTTCAGGCACCTGAAGATTTCACTCTTCCGTCAGGAACTATCCACCACAAGAACAAGGGCGAAAGAAAAATCGGGTTTTATGCGTTCAACGGTTACAAATCAGCCCACCTCGTCTTCATTCGAAGGCAAGGAAGAACAATGTAGCGATCGATGAATGAATTTCTTGCCTGGGCGAGACATCAAAAGGAACCACGGTAGCCATTCCAGGAACACCAGCTGCGTCTGGAACTCAGCATACTATTGAGTCTGACGTCCATTTACTCTACAGGTAAGTGCTATTGTGGATTACTCATACGGAAAATGGTCGTACCAATGCATAGACTCCTTGATGAAAAACATTGCTATAATAATCCACATTCTCAGTATTGTAGCACAGCTGTTAACCTCAAGACATATGAACAACATCAATAACTCACCCATTCTCCCATTTGATGAGTTCTTGGTGAACGAAAGTGTACATTTATAATAACAAGCGTCGCAATAATGGATAATCCCAGTATGAGCATTGAAAGAGAGAAGAAAACAGCTAAATCACTGAGTTAAGTTTGATGGAATCGGATCGATTATGATTGGTAATTACCGATTATTGGAATGGATTCTGAGGTAGGTGGGGTGATCTCGGAGACCATGCCGAGAAACACGGTCACCGAGAGCAGATTCGTGATTTCTGCAAGTAGAGTATAAATCATGACTAACAGCCGTAATGCAAACCATCTCATATTCATCTAAACCGGAAAATACTGTCGAGATCCTTGAAGGGAATTTTCGGAATTTGGCTGCAGAAATCGTTTGAGAGAAGGTGTTTTAAATTCAGCGACTTTCCAGAGCTTCCTGCTTCTGGAGGAAGTCTCGCTAGCTATACAAGTGCTCTGCTTCTTGACCTCAGGTTTTTTAAAGGGCAGCTGTTGTTAATAATAACTATCTGTTGATAATAATTTGTTTTCTAACGGATAACCCATTATGCAGCAATCGGTATTACGTCAGCTAGCACACAAGTGTTTATCAATGGACAAACATTACTAACAACGACCATCCTGCACAAAAGAGCACTGCCTGGTGAGGGTGCCTCACTTGAGAGGACGAATGTATCTCAAATCGGTACCGGCATTCGTTTTTTAAAAACCCTCCATTTGAGGAATTTATGAATGACAACCATTTGAAGAATTATGGGAATAAGATGCAACTCAGACTTACGAAGGGTGATCTTTTCACCGCACTCAGGTGGCATGGTGAAGCCTAGAACGTTACTGATTGAGATGAGGATCGACGGTACAATCCAGTTAAGACCATAATATAATGTCTTTCTCTTCAAGTGTAGCCTAAAGTACAGCTCCACATACGGTTCGTTATTGAACACAGAAGCGACACGGTCGGCGGGCGTTGCTAAACATGGTGTTCGTTTTCATTTTCAACTATTATTCACCTCGATAGAAAAGCTTTAAAGTAAAGGAACTCAACTCACCAACTAATTCAAATTCACCATTAGGTACATAATACATCAAATCCATTTTGTGTCTTTCGTTCAAACCTCTATCATCGATGTGAAGATCAAGTTTTGAACCAGTATACGTCCACGAACCGTACTAAATTTACTTCTGAAGTTTGACATTAATTTGTTAAGACTATCGGAAAATTTGGGTTTCAAATAAAATAAAAAAAATATCGCTAAAGCTGTAGAGATACCTACACAGTTGACGTTACTATGACAGAGTCGGAAAATCTACCTAGCGATGAAAAGCTTGTTAACGACTGATATATTGCATGTGGAGAGGCGACAAAAAAGTGAAAAACTTGGAAGAAAGTAATGAAATTGTTTGCGTAACTGTGAAGATCACTAGTTAACTAAACAGGGTGAAGGAGTCATCACAGCTTTCCTTTTATCGCTATCCACTCTGCTAGATAGAGCTCATTAACCGTGCAGTGGAGAGCAGCCAAGGCGAGTTCATCGGCAATGTTTAAGCGATACACTCCACCTCAATTTTAACAGTTGCACTAGCGCAGCCTACTTTTATACACTATTTTTTTATGCCTTCTTTTACCTACCTATGAGACATAATAAATGTAATAATGAGAATAAGGGAACAGGTAGCATGATGGTATTAATCCCAACCATCACGAACATGGTGATAGTTCGAGTCCGCTCTGAGCCCTGCAAGCCTCTTATCCCTCCGCAGTCGGAAAATTGGTAGGGACTTGTCCAGAAAGAAAATCTACAATCCAATCAAGAATGTTCCAGTCCGCTATCTCAGGACTCCAAGAAGAATCGACTCTACCAGCATTCTATGATAGTCAAGATGAAATGAAAGTTCTCAAGCAGCAACCGAAGTCATACGTAAAAGTTGGAAGACCTTCATGGGCAATAGATGCGTGGAGACGAATAAAATGTGAGCAGCCCTGGTATCCTCATAGTAGGCGTGAAGATGGTTCGTGTGAAACAAAAAAAAATTTTAATGGGAAAAATGGGAATAGTATGGAGAAGTCCTTTTATCTTGCACCCGTTCAGGCACTTTCGTCTGCAGAACCACTTCTATGCCAGTACTCCTCAAGCTTTCAAAGCCTGGCTGAAAGCTTCTGTAGATGTGTTATGAACAATGTCTGCTGACTCTAAAGTAGATTCAACCTAACTGACGAACTTGTTTCGCTAACTAATTAAAAATATTAACTCAGTTGTAAAACTCGTTTGTGAACAGTCGCACATTCACTTCACTTAACTACTCGATCGTCGTCGGCATGAGTCAACGTGGAAAGTCATAGCAGTCATTTGAGCGAATTCCCTAGTTCTCACCAATTTGTAGATTTTCATTGATTTCCTGAGATGGTGTAAAGGGGATAATATTTAGAGCAATACAAAACTAGAGAATAAGTTAAGCAAACTTCAAAAAATAGTGTGGTTTAGAGGATTGTGGAAAGGTGTCGGATAAGCAGTCAACTTGAAAGAACATGTTTGCACTATGAAAAATTGTCATTCTAGAAAAACCACAATCAAGGAAAACTTATTAGAGGTCTTGCCTCCATGAAATATATGTCTGGAGTGAAATGTGATTAGATCCGACGCATCAGCGACAGTTACGTCCTTATCACTTGATGTGCAAGTTATGAGCTTTCAGCGTTGGTCCACCTCATTAAAATGATTTCGTAGTTCGCCGTCATCTAGTTAACTTCCTGAGCCTCAGTGGAAATTCTTCTATTTCAGGAATTTAGAATTCGTGGAAAACACGGTGCTTTGATCAGAGACAAGTCTTGAACCAACTGATCATTCGTAAAGGGAGGGGGAGCTTGGTAGGAATCTACTGTAAAGATAAAACTACTAACCGACTGCCTGTGTGTGCGAGAATTCGCCCGTACTACCGTCATAAACCTACACTTTTTCATGATCGATATTGCAGGTATAAACTTTATTTAACGTGCAAAACACTATTTTGAAGTAACTCCCAAGTCCGACTTTCTATTAACCTCGGCATTGATTGAATATATCTTTCTACTTCTGTTCAGCAAGTAAAAGAAGAACAGAAGTAGAAAGATATACACTATTTTGAGTTTCGCTTCAAGACCTGAGCTTAGCCGCATATCAACAAAATAAAAAAAAGAATAAAGCTCTCGGCATTGATCAATCCCTGAGAGATGCGCCATGCATTCGACTTCGTTAAGTATCGTTGGAAGTGATTGAATGCATGTCTAGCATTTACAATGGCTCACGGTGATCTACCGATGTATCGAGCCAGTGCTTCCATCCTCCCAGAAAAGCCTGGTACCAATTTGCCGACTCCGGAGGGATGGAAGGCTTGGTGGGCTATGGACGTGCGGGTCGATTCCACTTGTGTATCGCAGTGGAGCCTCCAACCACTGCGCCACACTAGCGCGTCTAATCAAATATGTAAGTATAATACAAATATAATCGAATATCAATAAGCATCAATAACCCCACTTTGATAAAGCAAATCTGTTCGTCGAAAGGGAACCACGTCATTGATAATTCACAGGAGACTTTAACGATGCCGGGAGGAGCCAAAAGTACGTCACCGTTCGATGAGACCACGAAATTCACAGGGAATGACGCATCGAAGTGCTCATCAGCGCTGAAAATTCGTGATATATTTGAATTGATAGAGATTACATATAGTAGGCTTAAAACAAGGACGACAACTTTAGAGCTACCTATTGAATAGAAGTATATCCGGCTTCCATAGAAAATTATTCGGTAACTGAACATTGGTGATGTTACCGTATTCCTTCGGATCCCAATGCATTTTGTAATCATTCCATGTGTACTGTGTCCAGAGTACCAAAGTGATCACTTGGTTCTTCTCATCCGAAAATGTAGTAATGTCATCGAAATAAAGATATTTTGCACCACCTCGACAAAGGGGTGGAAAAATCTTGAATTGAAATCGATCAAGAATAACACTTTTTCAATTAATAAAGATCGACCCCTTCCAAAAAAAGATCGTGGTAATTTTGTATGACTCAGGATATTGGTTTTATTGGGAACACATGAGGCCTATCGGAGTACTTCTAATGATTCTTCATGCGTTTTTTCTACGAATACTCATTTTTTCTTAACGAATGGATTGCATCGCTCCATTGCCCCAGGTTGTAAATAACTAGGTATACCCATATTTGGTTCAAAAATCTTTAGTAAAGTGAGCTGCACAGAAGCGAAAAGCACTACAGTGGTGATGCCATTTGTTATGAGCATGGTGTTGTTTCGCTCCTGCCTGAGTTCAGGAAGCCTCCCATTGCTCCGGAGTCGGGACTGGTAGCAGGCTTGCCTAGGACCACTATATTCCAGCCTTTCCACGTGGGCACGCGCAAGCGCGGTTCTCCCAGGAGCGCTGGGAGATTAGACTCCACCAGCACTAAATGACATCTATAAAGAAGACCAGAAATTCTCATATTACTAGTATGAGAATAATTGTGTCGTAGTTGAACTCACCACATCGACGAGTTGTTGGAGCAAAATGCGAAGATTGACTCGTATCGGTTCCAAATGATTTCGAACAGGTCTTTCTATGGGATCGTAGTTGTTTCTGAGATCTTGGATCAGTCGGAATTCATCTTCACTACCTGATATCAAATCCAGAAAGCAAATACACAAGCAAATAAGTATAGAATCGATCGAGCGTATAGGATGTTGCATATAGAATACCTGAAAATGTCGAGTTTTTGTACCTCCTTTTTGTGAAAACAGATCTCGTAGCAGTCAATGAAGAAAAAACGATTTCTAATTCAACTTGGAAGACTACATATGAAGTGTATGAAATGACAAAAGATGTCAGAGCATATTAGTGAAAATAAAAGGCAGTAAACGGAAGCTAAAACTTTGTGATTTCGACTAACTACAACTTCCGTTTAGCTGAGTTCATTGCCAACCCGTTTTGCCAGGTTTTTGCTGTTGACAACTGATTGCTGTTAGCACCGTTACGGTCAAAAAGTAACTGATAGAAAGACAAAGCAAGGGCCTCGGTTCGTGTGGTGGCTATCACGTGAGCTTCCAAAGATAGTCGCAGGTCCGAGGTGCACCCGAGGTTCCGAGTTTTGCTGTTGTCTTAGCATCTTTGTGGTCGTCTCGCGATTTTTCACTAATACCCGCTTGTAAATTTAAGATGGAGGAACTGATGTGATTATATGTCCGTCGTCCTTAGTTTGGTATGAATGGAGTTGGAAATGACTGTCAGGGAGAACAAAGTATAACCAGCAGTCCTTTTCACATGTAGAGAAGACATTTTGCCGATTTTGTAAAGATTTAAAATAATCATGTGCATTAGACAAGACCTTTCATTGTGCTTCTCGTCATTATGCGCATCATGGTTTTATACGCTGGAAGAATCTCAACAACGAGAACAGAGCTTCTGGGATTGTTGATTACTGAGGATATTCTTGGCCGAAACGATCAAATCAAACACCAATCAGCACTACCTGTCCTGTGCCTGCTTTGGACGGGCATGTGATATTTTTCAGACATTCTAAGAACAGCGTCGACGTTAAAGTTGTCGACAGCAACTTTGTTTTTTACAAGGAATAATCCTCGTTATACAGCTTCAATGTATATATCAATCTTTGTTATGACCTGTTGGTGACGCATAGCCTAGAAAGAATGCAAACTATTGTTATTTCTGGGTACACCACTTCTTCTTTTCTGTCAAAAAAAAACAACAGAAACCGGATTTCCTTCGCAAACCATTCGATGTCACCGTTTATTGCATAGCTTACGTTATCGAAGACATCCATTCTATCAACTCAACTGTTGTCGTTTTGCCGTCCACTTCTTTTTAAATGACAAACAGTATCTTCTCATCTTACCAAGTTTGACGATTTTATAATTGAGCTTCTGGTCGGCAACATCGGATCCCTAATGGAAGCATTCTTGAAATGCGACCAGGCACTGTAGATGCCTCTCTTCCTCGTTGTGATTCTCTCCGTTGTTAACTTAACAAACTAAACAACGTTTCCGTTTCTGCTATATTTGGATAAGGGTAGTTGACAGTATTTATGGGTAATCTTCGGTGTTTTTAAGACTAAATGTGTTAGCCACAACGTTGCTGAGATATTTTCAAAACTCCGGACCGCAGGTTTCTGCGGTCGAACACGCCATTTACCCCTTCCGGGAACTAACGAGTTCACCACCACACCATGTGGATACTTCGTTTCGCCTTTCTCTCAGTGTCAGTTTTTCGAGCTTATAGGTGCTATCAGCAACCTGTCAACGACATTGATATTGAGAGTACAAATCGGCATTGAACCCAGTTAAGCTGAAGCTGTAGTATAAATCACAATGTAGTCATTTTTATTCACTGCGCTTCCTTTTTCATTTTAAATGGGTTCAGTACCGACTTGTGCCTCCCACATCAATCTCGTTTACCGGTGGTTGCTAATAAAAGGGTAAATGATAAAGCTCTTGGCGTTGATCAATCCCTGAGGGATGCGCCATGCACCCGCCGACTTCATTAAGCATCGTCGAAGGTTACTAAATGCACATCAGGCCTTTACAGTAGCTCGCGGTAGCCTACAGATGTATCGAGTCAGTGCTCCTACCTCCCAGATAAGTCTAGTACCAATTTGCCGGCCCCGTAGGAATGGAAGGCTTGATGAACCACGTGCGTGGGCGGAGATCATCCCATGTGTGTATTACACGGCGCCTCCGACCAGATGCGCCACTTTGCTGATAGCACCTATAAAACAAGGCTGAGAGAAAATCGAAACGAAGAATTCGCATGGTGAGTTGGTGAAACCGTTTGCCCCCGAAAACGATAACAGCGTGTTCGGTTCCTAACACGGGCACCAGCGGTATGGAGTTTTGCAAATATCTCAACATCATTGTGATTATATTTCACATCATCTCCTGCCATGAAAAAGAATAGATAGTAATGAAAGATGGTTACTAGATGTGATAGTTATTTATTGGTATCAACAACGAACTGTTCTCCACTCACTTTCTGGTTAGTTAATTCAATGCACGCCTTTGGACGAACTGACGTATCGAAAAGAACTTATACGAATGGATGTATGCTCGTACACAGATATGAATATGGTTAGGTGTATACGAGAGGTACAAGACACTCTGGTACAACAGAAACAGGGGTCAACCTCACGAATCAACTTTTACGGTTTAAAGGATGTGTTGTTGGTTTGCTTCGCGTTAAACAAATATCGCCCTGTGGCCACACTACCTAGCCTCTTTACTAACCGGCACAATGCATGCGACGACAGATTAATGCACTCCTTGGTTTGTTGAATAGAATAATATTAAATGAGCCGATGAACCAGTCTCTCCATATCTCAGTGGTGTCTCATATTTTCCAGCCGTCTTGATTTCTATGTTTAATAGAGGATAAATAATTTGGCCCGATTCATTTCTTCTTTATAAAGCTTGAGTTCAATTAAAATATCTTCTAGTAGGCCTTATAATTCTCCGCGAAGTAACACCCAAGGCGGACTTTCCAGTAACCTCAACCACGGTCAATAAATCGCTGTTTTCTTGATAAGCACACGCGATGTAGTTACTACAATCTCCATTTACAATAGCTGACACTTCGGCAGTTTGTTTCGCCATCTTTAGAACCTGGAAAGGTAAAGTAAACTGCAATTTAGTCGGCCAAATATCTCCATAAACTCAACAGCAAAACCACGACACCTAATTTCAATCGCACTGGAAACAAAACAGCTTCTCTGAGAACTCACCAATTCCTATGACCTTTCCACTGAATATTCCACATGGAGACCTACAGCCCAGAATTCACATGGATGGACAAGGCGCCTCTCTCACATTAAAGTATCATTCTGGGCATTGTGTGACATAATGCGTGATAACGAAACATTTTTCGCTGCGTTTCATTTGTGGATTATTAGAATTCATCCGGAAAGTTTTTGAGAGATATCATGGACTCGCCGTGTATGGCTATTTATCTCAAGCAACTCAAACATAGCAGAGATAGGTGCAAAATAAAAGTGCCATTTAGCATTGAAGAATAAAAGATAAGGCATTGGCGTTAATCACTTAGGGATACTGCATACTTTCAACATCATCAGAATTGTTGGAGGTGGTTGAACGCATATCTGACTAATGTAATGATTTACGGTGGCTTGTCGATGTACGAAGTCGGTGCTGCTATTATCCCAGAAGAGCCGAAACCTTGCGTGGATGGAACGTCTAGTGAGTCCGAAACGCGGAATCAAATCAGCGATTGATCCCATGTGTATCGTAAGCCGCCTCTAATCACTACGCTACACGCGCCTGGGCCTCTGGCATTTGCGTGAACGGTAACGGAAGATAGGAAGGCACAATATGGCTTCTTACGGTAAACCTGGTTTTTGGACCAACATTTTTATCTTAATTAATATAAACACGTAGGAAACCGAGTGTAGTATTTAGTGTAAAAATGAGATGTGTACGGTTGACATCGGTTAGTACAAGGTTTTTCGAAAAGTAAAAGCCATTAATTTAATTGTCCACTTCGAATGTGTGGAGTAAACTATGTTTTTACCAGTTTTTCATATCGATCACTAAAATGAACACCAAATAAAGTCTTAACCTTTTTATTTACTGCCCATTCTTTTTAACGACAGGGTATTTTATGAAATATAACCACTATAATGCTGAGATATATGCAAAACTCCGGACCGCAGGTGTCTGCAGTGGGGAACCAATGCGCTATTGTCCTTTCCGGAGAGTAACGCGTTCACCACTACACCGTGCGAATCTTTCGTTTCGTCTGTCTCTCCCCAAATCAATCCCGTTGATGGGTGATTGCTGATGGCAGAGGATCGATAGAACTAGCTGAGAGACAGGCGAAACGAAGGACCTGCATGGTGTGGTGGTGAACACGTTACTCCCCGGAAAGGACAATAGCGCGTTCGTTCCCCACCTCAGACACCTGCGGTCCGGAGTTTTGCAAATATCTCGGCATTATAGTAGTTATAATTCACCAAATAAAGTGTTAGTAGTGGTCTATAATAAGAAGCGAAAGCTATGGAATTCAACAGTCTAAAAGGAAACTGAGGCTAGGAAATTTAAGATACGTCCCACTATTAGCACATTAACGATGCCATTTTGCTTTTAGCTGTATCAAAGAAGTTTCTCATCAAAATGATCACTTTTCATTAATGTCAACGTTCATATTGCGAAGCAAAAACGGTACTAGTGATCAGAATCCCTTAAGTTATGCTTCGATGGATAGAATATTGCTGGAGAGCATAATTCATGGATGAGACCATATAACGTAGGTTGGAGCACTGACAGACGTGTCTGTCACCTCTGCATTGCCCGAAGAGGATGTGGTCGAAACCTGATACGGGGTGAACTCACTAATGCCGAGACGTCTGCGTGCTAGTGAATCGAGTGGAATGTGTGACAACGACAGAACTACCATAGAATAACTATAGATTTTAGTTATAGTGACATCAATGCACGAATTAGAAGAGTATTCGACATTAAAGTGCAAGAAGAAGCATTGAATTTTCAACAGCTGTGATCGCGCCGAGCATCATTTCAGTTGTTATATTCCAATACGGCGGAACTTCGAGTCACTGCAAGCTGTGAATATCCAGAAAACCTAAAATCTAGGCAAGATTGCAGCATAGGATCCAGCTAATCCTATTTCTTCTATTTTCTTACTGGTCCCTACTCGGGGAATTTTCAATTAATCTCACTAAGAGATGATTTTGATAAGGAACTGTCCAAATTAATGAAATGATAACCCATAATCGGTTATTAGCGAAACAAGAAATCTGATAGCACAGAATTTAACGGGATAGATTTATGAGGGTTTTACAAGCTCTTATGAAGCATTTAGTATCAACAACGATGAAAAGATGTGCGACAAGGTCTGATGATTACGAAACTCATAATCCAAGTGACATTGCAACTCAAGACGGTTCGGTGTACATCACTCAGCAAACAGATCAATGTCTGAGCAGGAACGAGAGTCCCACCGGAGCGGATTGAAGAACTCACCCAAACATTTCGGTAGAAAACACTGGAAGCTGATCAGAAGCAGTCGCGCAAAAAGCCCAGACGGACGTTTTCTCATTGCAAAAAGACACGGTCAGAATTATTTACTCACAAGTCCGTTTTATTTTCTAATCAATGTCCACACGATCATAAAAAGACATACACTTGGTTATAATGTATTTAGGTGTGTTTCTGCTGGTTAAGTCGCTGTAGGTTTCTAGGCAGTTTCTAGCAGTTTTTTTTTTCAATAACGGATCTATGAGGTAACCATCACCTTTGTTCTGGTAGAAAGGTGAACTAAACGCTCAATATGCTTAACATGTTTTGTCTCCTTAACACACCTGCTGAATAGAGATAGTTATTCTTCTTCTGTTTGCAAACATTTTATCGTTTTCTTAATCACCACGAAAAACTCTGGAATTGTTTCTGGAAAACATGACCAGTACTCTTTGCAACCACAGAGCCATTTCTTCTGCTGTTATTTATCGATTAACTTTGATAATTCTTGATTCGTTGTGTATGGCGCCACCTACATAGTGTAAAGTGTAACGGAGCCTTAATAAACTTTTTCATGAGTGCTCTTACGAAGAACATCTACAACGTTTTCCAAGTCATTTGTTTATTGATTCTGAAAACATCACTTGTAAAGTCGATGAAGCATACATCTTCCACTAAGGCCTAAAATTTCGAAATAGACAGCTTAATACGAACTTTAGAAAATGTTGTTTAATCTACTACTTAATAGGCACTAAGTTTGTGCTATAATATTACTGGACTGCTGCCGAAGCCACCCGTTTTTAAAGGGTTTGTCGCAGATTCTTTATGTCTTAGCTGAAAACCATAGAAACCTCCCAGTGAACCTAATACTGGGTAACCTTTTCCACTTTATCCTTTAGTTTCAAAACCCGACAGCATTTTTTGCGCGGTCCCCAGCACTTCTTTAATTCGGTTCGTTTCTTCTTTTTCCAACGTCCATGAAGGTGTTTGGATTTGCATATGGATTCGGCTCCCAAAAGAGGTCTTTGATTCCTTCATGAATATCTTTAAATTCTGGTCGAATTGGTTCTACTTAAAGCAATGGCAAAGAAGCAGCCTACTTCTGTGCGCCTAAGGGAGCTCTTCCGAGACAAGTCTAATTCAAATTTGACGGCTCCTAAAGAATAGCGGTTTGGATGGCTCGATATTAGATCGAAGTAGAGAGTATAGAGCGTATAATATTATCTCTAACCTTAACCCTTTTATTTACTGCCTTTTTTTCTTTAACGGGTGATTGCTGATGGCAAAAAGATCGATAGAACTAGCTGAGAGACAGGCAAAACGAAGGACCCGGATGGTGTGGTGGTGAAGTGCGCTGCTACCCGGTAAGGACAACAGCGCGAGTTCGTTTTCCAGCGCATACACCTGCGGTCCGGAGTTTTGCAAATATGTCAGAATTATATACGAATTATCTCTAACTTTCAACCCTTCTTTGATACGTATAGATCAGATACCTCAGGACCCTTTGCCAATATCTTCTCGCGGTTTTGGAAAAACCTTGTCTTTTTCACATTTTCATTGATATATCTTGATATGATCTATGGTCTCACGAAAAGCTGGCTATGCGAGAATCGGAGCTGAGCCATTCTTGCTCAAAAACCTCTTTGAAAGGACTGAAAATGATGGCAAATGGTATAATTAACTAACCACGTTTTCCTTTTTGAAAAAGAAAAGCGAAGGACGTAATGGATTCTTCTGACGATATTTAAATATTATTGTATTGAGAACGCGTTCATATAAGGTTTATTCACCACCACAACCCTACATAGTTAAACCTTTAGGACTATTATAATACAACTGCTTAACGATTTTCAATTGTTGAAAACATTTCGCATGAGCAATAACGGATTTTACGAATTAAAGGCGTTAATATGGAGGATCGTTTCTTACGGCCAGCGAAAGCTAGTGAATACCCACAAGGGAAGACCTTATGAGGATTTACAGCACGCAGTGAGACGAAGTATATACGCCTGATCGTATTCTCTCAACTCGAGATTCAATCCACCAAAGCGACCCAGCTCGATGTACGGCACCTCCTTACCTCTATCAGTATATAACTAAAAGGAAAGCATTCAGATAGAAAATGTACGACAAAAGCAAAAGTAGGTTTCGTTTTAAGCTACTTTCCGTGACAGTTACAACAGCGCTTATGTCACAAGCCAAAGGATAAGAGCTTTCGAGACATCTCTAGCAGGCTGGTTTTCTTGTAGCGTTCTAGACTTTGATGAAGAGAGGTGGGAACACCATTGCACACTATTAATTGAATTAACCTTGGTGCATCTAGCGATGCTTAGCAAGGGCTCGTTATGATGTTCGATTCGAATCAAAAAACGTTCCACATTTAGCAGTAAAACGATTTCAGCACCTTGTGTTTAAGCCTTCCATTACAGCTACCTAACTTGGGACACATACGAATGTCCAGGAAATAACGACTTCATTACCGAATTCTGTGGTTCCCAAATCGCCGTTCTACTGCTTTTAGATTCCGTGCTTTCAAGATCGCTGAGAAAGCTACCGAATAGATATTCTCATTGTTCGCTCAAAGTGTATTGTGTTACCAGCAAAATCAATTAAAACGTTGTTATTGGCATCCAGATGGGAGCAGTACTTGTGCGGTCTTCCATTCCAAATCGTAATGATGACACGGTACTGTATTGACAAAAAGGCTGTTTGGAACGTCATTCCACAGCGGTGTCTACGTAATTAGGCAAATTTCTCACACTTACTTCTCGAAGCCCAAAGTTCATTGGAACAGCAAGAGACACGAAATCCATTTGAAAGCCAGCAGGACACCTGAGGGATGGTCCAGGCATTATACAGTATTCTCCATCAGGCCAATCACTGCCTAAAATGCGATCATAAAATCCTGATAACCTTCGATAAAAAGATGGGTAAAACTAAAATGTGGGATAGAAATCACCTAAATTCGATTGGTTTCCATCTACTGATTTGTCCACAACGATGCTGTTTTCAGAATTTTCAAGCCGTTCGCTAGGAGTGAATGTGACTTTGTCTGAAACACTGCATTAGCAACGCTATCAGTCCATGAACGTTGAGCAGCAAATTCAATGAGTTGTCGATTCTTCTGACAGTTCATCATTTGAATTTCACTGAACAATAGGCGACCTCTACTCAATTCTCGTCAGGACCATTACGAAGTATTATCACATATTTTCCACGCCTTTTATTCTTTGCAGGACACTTTTCATACTCAATTTCAACTAAGAAGGCTATGCATAGTCAGGTTTAACAGCGTTACTAAGTCATGAGAAGAAATAAACGCTTTAAGGTCTCTAAAAATGATGGGCAAACTGCGAGATTGACAAAGACCCCACCCCATCCACCTTCCCCCAATACGAGAGATCGGCAACAGTCGCTGCTTTTGACGATGTCTAAGTCGATATTCCTACAGTTGAAGAACTCATAAGATGAAAGCATTGCTGACAAACAATTTATAATTTTGATCAAAACTCAGAAGAGTTATAGTAACTGGAATATTATCATTGACGAAAATATAGGAATATATGAAAATGCAGCGAAAATAATAGTGATAATGGTGCAAATATCAGTAATGAAGAGATGTTGGAGAGCACAGGAATAGGTGTCAGGTATGTTGCCAAAAGTAGGTAAACAATTCCCATGACCGACTTTCTTTCAACCTCGGCATTGATTGACAATTCGACGTTTTTCTTCAATAAGCAGACGCGAGGTTGTTATTATAGGATTTATTAGGATACAATAGCTGCCGTTTCGGCGGTTTCACCTTCTTCAGAACCTGGAAAGGTCAAATTGAGATGTGATCTACTCAGCCAAACACTTTCATAACCCCAGCAGATAAAACTTGACAAATCGATTTGCATTCGCATATGAAACAGCTCCATTTAAACACCTACCGTTTATTTGTTGTAAATATTTAAATTAGTTGGTGGATAACAGCCCCACAGATGGGCGATAACTGTGTCTGTGTCAGGTCATTGGATTAGCCTGAGGTATGGCGCCAGGTCACGCGTGATGACAAGACACTCCTCCTTGCGGTTCATTTTTGAATCTTTGGAGTTGATCCGAAACGCTTCAAGAGTCAGCTAACTTAAATACAACAAATAAACGACTCTGAGGAAGACGAAACCGCCGAAACGTCAGCTATCGTATCCTAATAAATTCTATAATAACAACCTCGTGTTTGCTTATTGAAGAAAAACATCGAGTAGGTAAACAGTCTTTCCTCGATTTCACATAGTCCATTTACTCCACTTTTCTTAACAGTTTCATTTCCCGTCACACCACTCTTCGATTTTCTGTTTTCTACGTGGTCTTTCTTTTCCTTTCAGATAGCCTGAATTCTCTGCAATCACTTTATATATTTTTAAAAACTACTGACTAATCGTAAATTTCTAAAGTTGTGTCCGTGAAGTCTTCAAAGTACAAGCGATTGAAGAACAGTATAATCTGTGCCTCACAAAACGACCTAAGTTTGATTGTTCATCCTAATCAAACCTTCTGAGTGATTTTTAATTACTGTCATATGATCAAATGCACAACGGCGCTAACCATCACTATAAGCAGAATTTTCTTCATAAGGTGTTTTCCCTGTAGAATTTGCCTGGGTAAACGGTTAGAACTTTTGGCAGTATTACTTCTGCTTGATAGGCTAAGAAGTCAAATGGCTGTGTGAGGAGCTGAACGCAATCCATCATAACACAACATTGACGACTTGTAAGTGAAAATGCCTTCCACAATCACAGTGATTCCGGTTCTAACGGATATTTCAATGCATTGAATACCATATTAAGACAAAAATGAAGAAACGATACGTGAGAAATGCTTATTTTTCATTTTTTTTTCCCGTTTTTCAAGGTGTACTGTTGCTCACTTCGTCAAGAGCTTTAAAGTTTAGCGTATAAGATGTAAACTAACTTGGTAAAAAATCCATAAACTAACGAATAAGTGATCATGATCACCTAAGGTTTCTTGGGATGACCACACTGCAATCGCACACTGAACTTGATTTTTTCTTCAATAGAAATAGCATCACCTTTTACTTTATAAGGACTTGCGTAGATTTGTAGAGCGTAACTGAGCATCAAGAGGAAGATGGCATGTCGAAGCATTAGCGATTCGTCCACTGATGATTTAGGATCTGATAGTGTAGGACCGTAAAAGGACAATCGGATTAAAAGCGAAGAACAAAAGCGATTGCAAAGGTGTCGCTGAGCTCCGTTCGGAGATAGGAAAAGTGACAAGGAAACTTTTCGTCTTCACACAAAGACGTCTATAAAGAGGCGAATAACTTCTCTGAAGTTAAATACTCAACGACCTAAGTTGGAAAAATATTCACAAGCAGATTATCACAGAGACATGAATCTCATCTTAATAGGGAGGAAGGGAGACACTAAAACTATTGTACTTGATTATGATGAGATTGTTCTTCCACGAACACTAAGGTGTTGCTGGAACAATAACAACGGGAACGAGGACTACGGTGTAGATGTTGGTCAACAATGTTCTTGACTCATTTCCTGTGTATTTTCTGAGCATCGATAGACCGACGGTTAACACCAGAGAAGCGAGGAAACACGTAAAAATTGTGATCGAAGTGGGAGAATATAATGAGATTGCTAGACCATCCACACATCCTTTACCGGAGCACTGCTGCTGTTTCTTAAGCTTGCAACACATTACTCCGCAAGAACCATCACTGCTTATCAGTCTATCTTGTTCAGAAATTTTCCGCGCTCAATGGCACGACGGTCACGAAATCTTACATATTTTTTGACAATAGAAAAAACCATAGCGTGTTTCACCTTGCAGAGTAATTTAGGTGAGGAAGAAGAAACGAGTGGATCAATTCAGCATTTTTTGTTCCTCCAAACAGATAATAATGTCTCGCTCCAGACGAACAGGTAGTTTTATATATATAGCTTTATATATACAGGTATATATATATATATATATATATATATATATACATTGGGCGCGTGTGGCGTAGTGGTTGGAGGCGCATTCAACACACACGTGGAATCGATCGCAGCGTCCCTGGCCCACTAAGCCTTCTATGGCTCTGGAGTCTGCCGAGTCATTGTAAAGGCCAGATATGCATTTAATAACCCCCAGACGATGCTTAATGAAGTCGAATGCACAGCGTATCCGTCAGGGATTGATCAACGACGACAGCTTTCATATACATATACATATACAGACACATATACATATATGTATAATACTTACTTGGATATTTGGACGGTCCGTTTTAACGAGTTGTGTCGACCCCAGCACATTTGGCATTCGTTTCTATCTCTCGCAATCGTATAATGTATGTATATAATATATCGTCCCAACGGTTTACCGCCTCATCGTGGCTGGGAGGTGTTCCTGGGTGTCGAGCTGCGATGTACAGCGGTGGGGGGACTAGCCCCCTAGCAGAGTATCCCAAGATGGGACAGAGCCCGGCGTTTCCATCAGGAATCTTTGCTAAGAGTAAACCAATCCACCATTTTCCTAGTATCAAAGTCGCATGGTGGCAAATCTCCCTCTGATCCACAAGGGCCGCTACTGCCTGTGATGGTGAAGACCTGGGACAGACTTTGGCCAGGCTGACTTCACGATTCCAGAGAACCATAACGGCTTAACCAGCAAATCTCAGAAAAATGGAGATTATGCTGGGGCCCGCACAACCAATAAGGAAGGGCAGTTCAAGTATCAAGCATCAAGTAGTATATAATACATACATATATATGTTCGTGTTTAGGCGTTTACATTTATATGTATTTTTTATGGTTTGAAGCATATGGGGATTTGAATACCACAGTTGGGTAGTTTTATTATTGCCGAATAGCTATTGTTACGGTAATGAATCAATACAATGACCCAACTAGGCCTGTTGCAGATAGACTTGGAAGGCACTACACGCCCTCAAAACTATTCCTCTTAATATCAGATTTAATCCCACTGTGGGACCGAGACTGTGAAGAAATGCTCTCTAAGGTCACAAGTCAAACATCTCGTTGCTATCGTTTAGCACAGAGGCTCTGCTATTGGTTACATTGTGAGTTGTGGATAAATATTTGCTCAAATTTCCATAGGTGGATAAATGTTTCCTAGATTACAATGGTGAGACAATTCCTTCTTCCAAAAAAATCACCACCTACTGAAGAACTGCAAATATGCTATGGAAGTTTCACTTTGTTGCGAAAGAATCAGAGTAAAAGGGATGACCACGAAGCTCATCAAATAACTTACGAATCCTAGAAAGTCAGAGAAATGTCTTAGGGAGAATACTATCCATTATTTTTTGCTGCCACCATCAAATACTTTTGGAACACACTGAATAGCCATGCTGCTCACTCTACTCAGTGAATATCCTTATCGCAAGTTTCCATCTTCTCATCATTGGCTACCTCTTCCTCATTCTTTCATCGTAAAAAAAACAGCCTGTGGGAGTGAACAGTAATACCGATGCTGATCACCAGAAGCTGTCCCTCCTAGATGGGAAATTGCACCAGGCTTGTCTGGGAAAACCCTCACTCTCTTCAATCAAAGTGGTAACGCTCTAGACAAGCTACCTTAGGACTGTAGACAGAATCGACTCGATCAGCATTCAACTACGCTTACGATGAGAAGAAATTCCCCAAGTAGCAATCAAACCCACATGCAAAAGTTGGACCTCTCCATGGATGATAGATGCGAGGAAACGAATCCAGTGCAAGAAGTGATGGCATTCCCATAGTAGTTGTGAAAGATGAGTCGTATAGAATAGATTTAAATTTTGGTAACTAGGTTGCCACAGACAGGTTGTCGGCTTACTCATAGCTGATGCTAGCGTTGGAAATGACAAACCTCTTTTCACCCTAGACAACATTTCTAGAATGATGGAACCTCCCCGCACGTTTTAGGTGGACCCGTATGTACACTCTCTAGCCGAAATGATGCAGTAAACCACTTGGTGTACCGTATAACATAGCGATTCAATACTGTACAATAATAGCAACGTATCCGATCTTAGGTAGCCAGTCAAGTGTCTCCGCAGATGATATATGCATACTTCGCAGATATTTGTGTGAATCCACAAAAGAATCTGCAGCCAGTTGAACATTACGCAGAAAAATACCAAGAAATTGTTGTGCAATGGCAGAAAATATTCTGTTTTCTGCATGCACTTAGTTAGAATGTTTGTTTTAAACATATTCAAGAATCAAGTGCATTCAACGCAAGAAGTTGCGCCTATGTAGTATGTCTTTTAGGAGTTAGTTGCTATTGTTGTGGAGTGTTGTGTATCTTCCTATATCACCATATGGGACGGTAGACCTTCACTCTAGTCTTTGTCAAAAGAGCAGCACCGCTTTCATCATAGTTTCGAATCTTCAGGTCGACAAGAATCAGTTGTCACTCGCGAAAAACCCGTCTTTGCAGTCGACAGTTATGGATAGCCATTGGAGAAACTTTAACGTATGTTTTGCGAAATGCTGGAAAATACTTGCTCAAAATGGGTGAAATATCCTTGGATGTGAGCCAATAGAGACCTACTATAATACGCGCGCAGCATCTTCGCCAGCACGCTCTTTGAATTCAACACGTAAGATGATAAGAACTAGGAGAATGTGTATTGGCCTCGATGCGCACATTTACGGTGTGGTCTTTTGCTACATAGAGTTTCTTTGCAATACTTACTGTGGTCAATCGGCAGTCGACATCTTATTGAATACGACTTTGCTGGGCATTGCTCGGGAAAAGCTCTGTTGTGCATTTAGAAAAAAACCACTTTTCGAACGAGTTCAGTGACTGGTAATTTGGCAGGCAGCAGACTTTTACTTCATTTTCAGCCACTATAATAAATCATCTTTATCATGTTAGATGTGCAAGTATAATAAATACCGAAATACAGCCTACACAATATCGAAGACGCTTCCGAGTGTTGCCAGCAATTTGTATAGAGGGCCACGCAACATATAGTAAAATACTGTCGTGCACAACCTTCGATCGATACAGCAAGCTCTTTTCTACAATTTACCAAGTTCATAACCCCTCAACTCTTCTAGTTAGTGAAAAATTATCGCCTTTTGTCGAAAAACCAGTTTGTCCGTAACGACCAAATATTAGGCGAAGACCGGTGCGTTGCCCACAGGAAATTTTGCGTAGTTGCGGGAGGGATTAAGTGAATCCGAATCCAAGAGTGATGAGATGGAGCAAACAAAAATCGAGCGGCTTGAAATTGTGCCAGTTGGTTTTTCGCAGCACTCACTCAGCACTCATTTCGCAGTAGAAAACCCAGCGATTATTGGCTAATCGTAATCATCTGGAAAGTAAACTATGTAGTACATCAGAACATTTTGCACTGTTTGCAAAGCAAACAACGGAACGTGAACGGAACAACGAGAACGATCGACTTCGGGCTGACTAATGCGAACTGCATTACTTCTGAAGACCACGAGACTTCGAAAAATCAGCGAAATTATTGTGCCCTTCCCATGAAATGATAGAAGTGCAAGAAATAGTACTGGAATACAAAGAGATTTATTGGTGAATTACTGGTCTTAAAGGAAAGAGATAGACGGAATGAAATGAAGATATCTTATCGTTTTCTTGTAGTTGCCACTGAGATGCTACATCACACACTAGGCAAATTTCTTTCACATCGTTTAATCTAAAGAGCATCAAGAGTTCATGGTTTACGGTTAAGAGAAATGATGAAAAGACACCTTGCACACACACTTAGCTGGTTCTCCCCTCACTTTTCCTTAGTATCTTTTCTATTCCACGTCCATACCTCTCTTCCGCTCGTCAGTTTTCTCGATCTTGTTCTTTTATCTCCGTACATTCTTTCTTACTCACTGTCTTACATCCTTCCCGCAACTCACTTCCTCCAATCTTCTTTAACTCACTCTACACGGGTTTATACACAAAATAAGTGATTTGCAACTCACTGTCACATCCTGAAATGCAGTTTTGCTACTTCAGCGTCGGTGTTACAGCTCGTCGTTGTCTTCTCAGAGATGCAATGTTTGGAGTCCTAGCAGCTATTTCGTGTCTGAAATCGTTCTTTCTTTTTACTTTCTTCAGTTCTCTGTGAAGGTAAATTGGTGTGCACATGCTTACGACGAACCATGAGCGACTAAGTTTTCGCACCTCAGTGGTTGACAGTAAGAAAAAATAAGCGGTCAGGATACTGTATTGTCATGTCAAAAAGCAGCAGGTAATAACAAAAAGGTATTGGAGCTTTTATAAGCAGGCAAGCACTACAGAATATAAAAGTGAAATATCTAACATAACAGCAAGCGGACTCACTCCGATGGACCCTTTGCTGTGACTTCGTCAATATGTTCCGGGTCAGGCTCCGTTGTCGGAATAATGGCTCCGGCAGCGATGTCCAGCTCCTTCTGCTTGATCTCGTCAATCAGGTCTCTCAGCATCTGTTCGATGAATTGCACTCGCTCTGGATCCACGTCGTCGTAACCTCTGTAATTCAACGCAAACATTGCACCAGCACGTTCCTGCTATTTGTGCACATTGTTATCGCATCATTTTTTCACGCTTATCAGTGGTTTTATTGTCGTTGATTAACTTTCAAGCCAGTTCTACAAGGATTAAATGGCTTTCAGTTTATTGTCTTCGGAATTTGCACACTAACTAACCCCTAGCTTGTTCGATATCTAGTTAATCATAATCGATCGATATGAAATGTTTGTTCAAATGGAGAAGGTAAAAAATGGTTTCCGATACCTGTAATGCGTTGTTATATATGTCAGAGCTTTGCTAGTGACGAAAAGTCCCCAGAAATAGAAAAGTGCGCCGAGGAACCAAATGAGTGAAGCCACCAAACCCATAACATCACCACGTGCTAACAACGTAACTCTATAACGACAATGAGTACCGAAGCAACATACTCAGACTTCCTGATTTTAACTTACACCATCCACGATAATGACCACAATACTATCAGGGAAAGTCTTGTGTTGTAAATCACGAGCAAATTTGCCCGCTCCTAAAATTATACGTTATTTTGCTTTGAATCAGCAGTCATAACACCAAGGCATAAGAATATACTGATATTAGGGCATCAGAAGACATGATTTAAAGCAATGGTTCAGGGTTCCTTGACCTGGAACGCTGGACATACTAGATCAGTCCATGATTTAATCCCGTGCATCTGGTTCACCAAGATTTTCATCCCTACAGGGCAGGAAAATCAGTGCTAGACTTGTCTGGGAGGAAAACTGCAACATGTGGTACATCGGTAGGTCACCCCAACTCAATACACAATCCAGATACGCACTTAATCACCTCCAGTAATACTTGAAGAAGTTGGATGCACGGTGCATCCCTCAGAGACGAGTCAATGACAAAATCTTTATCAATTTTCTCTGCTAAGACATGATTTCAGTAGTGAAAAGCTTGTCAGACTTATAGAAGAAAGGAGAAGTCTGTTGCATGACAAGTGCATACCTACGATGGCTTTGGCCCATAGACGCACGCTTTATCCAAAGTCCACCAGCAAGATCATCTTAGTCTATGAGACAGCTACCCACACGGACCGTTTCATTAAACCCAGTATCACACTGTTTTCACCTAGATTTCTATTCCCTTCTTACGAAATGCATTATTTTCATATAACCAGTTATCACATCTACTGTGCGGATCCCAGTGCTTTTTGCTTTTCCTCGCATTCATAGCGCAAAAAGATCTTCGAACATTTCACGCATTCTCTCTGTTGCTACTTGAGGATTTCGTATTCTTTCTGAGTGTCGCAGAATACTGGGTGAGTCGATTCTCCTTTCAATCCTGGTAACAGACGAGTTAAAGCGTGCATTAGAGGAGAGCCTTAGGGAAGGGGTCGAACCAGAACCTCGCTTCCTGATGGACTGCATCACGAATCGCTGGGTTATCTCTTCCCTTATGAAATATGTTACAATGAAAAAAACCAGAACTTACATAAAGAAGACCAATTACTCCAATAGGAAAAGCAACAGCAAAAAAAACCAGAACGAAGAATGGCAACAATGTATGGATAGAAACTTCTCTCTATAAGTTAATCAACCTCTCGTTTCATCCTTTCAATAGCGGAATAGATGCTCAGCTTCTTTTAATAAATAATGTACTTTGCAATTTTAAAAGAGGGATGGTGATTCTGATAACTTACAAGATAACATACAGCTCCATAGAGAACTAGAGTTATGAGCACAGCGAAGAAGTCGAATACCTTGAAAAGAATTGCACAAAACTGTATCTGATTCAAAAAGGTTGTTTCCTGAAATCTGAGAAGCGAGCCGAAAGTGGGAAATATTTCTTTCAATTTTATTTGGAAATTCTTAATTGTTGAAGCTGTATGAGTAGGGGGCGCGTGTAACGTAGTGGTCGGAGGTTCCCTGCACAACACATACTTGGAATCGATCCTTACATCCATGGCCCCTATCGTCAACCCTCTCCGAGTTTTATGATATCGGATTCGTTCTCAAACTTTTATAATATAACTTATTTCTTCCACCACCTTTCTCTACCAGTATTGATAACGCTGATACCGTATTCATCTTGTTTCCTTAATGTATAGGATTCCGAATAGTAGAACCTGTTCAAAACAACGTTAGGAAACAGCGTACTGTAGAACTGGTCGTGTTTTAACTCCATCCAGCTCTTTTGTCATGAGAACATCGATATTTACGAAACAAGACGGCATGGACACTGGCCATCGAAATCCACCCAGACCTTATCATATTCCACTTTCCGCTCGACGTTCTAGAAATGGCGTCTTAAATTTTCGGCAGCCTTTTTCTCCTGTTGACGATAGCATCGCTGTAGAATGCCGAAATTCCGGCCATGAAGTTTCTGTATAGCACCTGATGAATGTGCTCTTCAACCATATGTTTTCCTTGGTTGATTTAGGATGCCGACGCTGTCCTAAACGTCAATAACCGCTCTGGGACCCTTATAAGCAATCTTACTAATAGTCTTTAAAAGAGCTCGTTGGTTGCTAAAGAACAACCTTTTCTGTACACTCCGTTTACGGATTAACGCCAATGGCTGCACATTGAATCAGGTCCGGTGCAACATCAAAGATAAGGTGGATTCCTTTACAGCTTGCTTCTTTATTCTGCTGCCGATATGCTATTGGACACGTGTTGCACATTGGTTAGAGGTGACCACTTAAACACTATATCTATTGTTGGTACGACCAGGAGAACCGCGTCCATCCCTCCGAAACTGGTCGTAGCCGGACGTGTTATCCTTCATCCTTTATGGCATGTTGTGGAATGCAGTAATCCAAATAGTTACCTATAGTGTTACATCTATTTTTAGCTACTTGTTAATCATTTATTCTTCCCAAAGAATATGAGTACTTACTTGAAAAGCAAGACAAGCTATGAAGCTGTGAAGACAGCTGCAAACCTGCATGTAATACTATTAGGAATATGAATTGCGTGTAAATCATAGGAAGCGCACTGTTCACCAACCACGTAGTCTTCGTTACCTTCTTCACCCAATTCCGCCAACGCATCACACATTAAACACACACGACCTCTCAGCTAAAAAGAACAACGAAAATAAGATACCACATTGGACAGAATCTATAATAACTTTCGCTAAGCTAAGTAAATTGCTAACCATGGAATTGCTATCATTATTCTAACACCCGTTCTTATTTTGGTCCTATTATTTTGAATAAAGATCATATTGCCACAACGTTGCTGAGATATTTGTAAAACTCTGGACCGCAGGTGTCTATGGTGGGGAACGAACGCGCTATTGTCCTTTCCGGGGAGTAACGCGTTCACCACCATACCATCCGGGTCCTTTGTTTTGCCTGTCTCTCAGCTATTTCTATCGATCTTTGCCACAGCAATCACACGTCAGCGGGATTGATCTAGGGCGCCCAAATCGGCATAGAACCCAGTTAAGCTGCGGCTGTAGTTGAAACCACAATGTTATACCTTTTTATTTTCTGCCTACTATAATTTCGCGGCAGGGTACTAAGCGTAATACAACCACAACGTTGCTGAGATATAGACACCTGCGGTCCAGAGTTTTGCAAATATCTCAGTAACGTTGTGGTTGTATTACGCTTAGTACCCTGCCGCGAAATTATAGTAGGCAGAAAATAAAAAGGTATAACAAAGATCATATCGCCTCAGAAGAGCACATAGGTCAACTAGAAGCGATAGTAGTTCGTGAACTTGAACGTCGCCAGTAGTCTAATGGGTGAAAGAAGATGCAAGGTTGAAAAATCCGTTCCCTTATTTTCGGGAAGGGTATCCACCAAATTTATGACCGAAAATGTTATATATTGCCTTATTCACTGACTATACTCACCAGCGCCGTCTACTCACCAAGTTTTTCATTCCTCTAGGGTGAGAAAATTGGTACCAAACTTGTCTGCGAGGATAGCAGCACTGGATTGATACATCCTTAAGCCAACTCGCGTCATTGAAAAGCCCAGATATGCATTCAATCGCCTCCAGCATTGCTTAGTGAAGTCGAATGCATGGCGCATCCCTCAGGCATTGAACAACGCCGAGAGCTTACTTTAGCTTTCACTCAGCTTATTATTTGACCTTATCCACATTCACTAATTCAGACTTTAAATACGAAATATTTTATCTCATTGCAGTAGAACTGACAAATCTCTTGAACAAAATTAGCCCTCCTTTGCCGTCAGTTTCCTTGACTGTGTAACGCCACCTTTACAACACTTTATTTCAGATTTTCTTCTCTTCAGATGATTAAAATATGCTACTTACAAATATATGCAAATTACTCCTCGCTTCATGTATACACAGCCTGAGATAATATAATTTTTCCACGAACTAAAACTGAAGTGAATCGATTCATTGATCATCTATGTCAGACGGCAGCATGTCCTCAGTGATGCCCATTGCAAAAATGTCTTCCTTCACCCTGTTGAGATAGTCAGGATCAGGATATCCATACCTGGAAGAACGTTGAAACCACTTTGCGTTTTTTCCCCAAAAATTTGTTTTAGCATCACACGGTGTTGTCCAACATTTAAATGTTCATTTAACTCAAACACTTTCTAGACTTCATATTCGCAACGATCCGAATGCTCACAGAAACAGGCCACAAAAATAAAACAGTGAAGATTTTAGTGGCTAGTGGTGTTTCCGCTATTCTGGAACAGCACGATAGCGAAATAATTCGAGTGAATGAACATTTCAGATTCTTGAATCATTTCAACACAAGAATAAAAGCATCTAATTCTTCCCTTTTTTGTTCACAATGGTGTAAATTGTTCCATTTATATTGCATGTATAATGTGTACGCCCCTGTGAAAAGTTTCACGCTTTTGAAGTTTAATGACTGTCGCTATTAAGAAGACTACATGCGAGCCATAACGTATTCGACCTATTTGGCCAATAAATGCTCCCATCTTTCCCATCTAATCTTCTCTTTTGCGGAACAGAACCTACAAATTCTTTGCAAGTTTATCTATACAGGTTACTTACTTCTGCGGTCCTCCATAAACGCTTGTCTTGTGGTGAATATTGTTCCACACTACGACATTTCTTGCTCCTGTTGTTATTGAGTCTCCAACCTTAAAATGATATCCTTTCGTTCCCTCATTCTTTTGCAGGAATGATGAAAAAGAAAGGGTGGTACGAACTGTTACAAACCGTGAAAATAAGACGACGCTCAAAAGCGAATCTCAGTAACCGTAGCACCTAAAAAAACTTATAAGGTAGAGGAAAAACTGCATTGTTGCATCATAGCACATACACTTCACAACTCATTCTATCGCACCCGTTTCGAACTAAAGGTCTGATGGAATCACCGATATTCAATATCTGTCAATAAACTTTATGCCTAATTCCGCCTACTTAGTCCACGAGTCCACGAATAAATCCTAACATAAAACACGACAAGAACATTCTAATAATTCCATGGATTAATTTAGGGGAAATCCTTGGTGAGTAACTCAACTTGGCTTGTTCAAACCGAAAACAACAAAATCATGGAGAAACTCCGCTTGCACAGTAACATCGCCTATCGAAATTTAAAGATAGGTGAAGGGAAACATAGGTTTCATGAACTCCAAAAATCAAAACTTCGTTTCGTTAGATTAAGAAGGCTATTTCTATTCAAATCGATTAAAATTCAATATCGGTTGAAAGATGTTTGTATGTAGTTCAATAAGGAAACCATTTTTGAGATTTCGCATTGAAATAAATGCACATGGTTGCAAATTCGTTAGAAGGATCGTATGAATCATCGTTTCCCTCAAAAAGTGCAGTATACTACGGCTGTTCACCACCACCAAATGAAGAACCTACAACGTATTCATGTCGCAGCAGCACCCACTGTTACACGCCGAACGATTTCTTCATAAAGATGGATGATGAAATACAATGCAAAAATTTCTGCCTATTTGATTGTCTACTTAAAGCGCTGTACGATTTCTTTGAAGGCTAACATTCACGTTAAACCGCATACGCTGAATTGCTGCGCTGCAATTAGCCACTTTAAAACGAATTCCATCTTTGGCATTCCTAAGTGTAGGGCTTCCTTCGCAGCTAATAATAGCTGAAGTGAAAAGACGTGCCATAAACCCAGTCAGCGTCTATATGATTGGCAAATCCATTGGGCAGTATTTAAACCTGTTATTCTGATGAAAGCGCACATTACGCTTCCATGTGGACTCTGTGCGATTGGTCTCCACGTGACATATTCAGTGGAAGACTCATACGAAGCGGTGAGTGTCCAAAGAAGACCCAGGCTCTGAGGGCGCAATCCGCCGAAACGTCAGCTTGTGCGTAAATAAAGAAATAATGACACCTCGTATTTGTTAAACAAGAATATAAAATATTGTCCGATCAATGCTGAAGCTAACAAAAAGTCGGTCATAGGAATACATGACAGTTTTTCCCCGACCAAACATGCTGATCCACTGGTATTCCGAAATGTAAACAGTCGTCAAAATGGTTGTTGTTCGTGATTGAAACCTGTTGTACAGTAACACGATCAGCAAATCATAAGTATCGCTCAAACAGTGCGTGATATAAAACTGACTGTCGCAAGCGATCTTTTGTCAAAATAGTAATAACGTGTCATTTTATGAAGCGATAAGGTTTTTCAATTGGTTTTCGCCACTAAAAAATCTCGAAGAACGTCACAAATAGCTCTCAACATCTCCACTAGAAAGTCTTATCTTACCACGAAGGCTGCACGTATATCCGTTTAACACTGCGTGGTGTCCAAACAGTCACATTATTTTATCTAGGGCTTTTTTTGAGCCGTTTCACTTATACAACCCATTTCATCATTGTGTTCCATATGCGAGCAATGTTATTGCTTTTTTCTGACTGCTTAGACTAGACCTCGCAACTTCTTCTCCCCTTCCCCCAAAGCAAAAAGCTCGAGGGACCACCTTCTCGCACTTCGAATCACAACCATGACATTTAGCAAGATCAAAATAACTTGTTTATTAACCGTGAGACTAACTAAGAGTCAGCTTTTTGAATATTCGGCGGTCAAATGTGAGGAACGAACGATAACGAGCGCGCTCCTCTTTGTGACATCCAAAATTACACTTAAATTAAATCCCTTTGAAAGTACGACCGATATCAGGCAAAAATCTTTTCACAGGAATGGTGTTTACTGTTATTAGTATACTAATATAGATGGAAAAACAAAAAGTGATAACACTATAAAATGCATATCATTTTCAAATCCTCCCATTTCATTTTTTGCTGGTGCATTACGACATGTGACAAAATGAAGATTTCCAACAAGGAAATAGATACACTTTGCTTGAAAAAAAAAAACTTGACCAACTCAAACAAAGGCCTCAGTATGTTGACTTGCCTAATCAACGGCGTTAGACAAACTGAACAATGGAATGGCGCATTCCATGAGTCTGTATTCTTGAAGAGATTGAGGGTCCTGCTTTGTTTTCAAAATATGTCTTTAGTAGGTGAGGTTAACAATTAGCTACACTGCAATGTTAATGAAAGGAAGAGACTAGCATATACTTTGAAGCAGTTGGCTCCGCACTTAATTCCGCAAAGCTGTCTTCTATTGTGGTGCGTGTGGCGTAGTGGTCAGAGGCGCCCTGTAATAAACATGGGATCGATCTATGCGCCCCAGACTCACCAAGCCTTCCATCTTTCCGGGGTAGGAAATCGGTACCACACTTGTCTGGAGGGATGGCAGCACCGGCTCGATACATTTGTAGGCCACCGCGAGTCATTCTAAAGGCCAGATATGCATCCATCACTCCGGCGATGCTTAATGAAATCGAATGCATAGCGCATCTCTCTGGGAATGATCAACACCATGAGCTTTATCCTTTTATTTATCTTCAATAAACCAAGGTGTGTATCCCAGAAAACGTGTAACCAATGCGCTTGCAGTGTTTCGAAAATCTACATAGGAAGTAAAGTAAATCTGTCGAAGCAGACGACTAAGTCACTTGGTTAAAATAGGGAGAAAGGAGGACAATCCGTCAAAAATTTTCAGTAATTTAGAAGATGAACTTTCAGAAAGTGTGATAACCTCGTCAATGGAGAAAAAGTACATCAAATGTTCAAAGCATTTCAACAACGATATGACCCACCTTCGTTCCTTCCGGCGTCCCAGGTACATATGCTCTTCTACGAGTTCCACTGAAAGGCTTCCCAGGCCTTATATGACTCGCCTGAAAGCATAAAATCTAGAGAGATCTATTGCAGATTACAAGAAAAAGCTCTGCTTACCTCTTGAATTCCACTTTCAACAATGTACAAAATCTCGTACGTAAAATCACTATCTTCATGACCTCAAAAAATGCATAAATGCACAAAAGTAATCTGAGACAAAAAATATAAACGAACCAGGTAGCTTCAAAGAAAAATTCTTGTTAATAAACATCCGGGCCTCGTTCGGTTGGTCGCCTAGAGGGAGCTCGAAGTATTTTCGGCAAAGAGGGCACCACTTTTTATGCCCCGGACTATCCAAGTATTCCTGAAACATAACAACTATAAGGAACATTATGAGAAAGAAAGAACTGGATAGAAATCGAACCCTAAAGCATTGTACATGATACTGGTGAGCACAAGGCAACTCGAAAACCTCTGATTCACCGCCTCCGAGAGCACTCAAACAAATTGAACAGTCGTCTTCCACGACCTAAGAAATATGTTTTTCCTTTATTACTTTTAAGAATACAAAGCAGTTCTTTGACTACGAGCTGCGTATATGGAAAAATAACCAATTTAGCAAAGTATCTGCTGATAGGAGAGCGCGTGTAGCTCATTGGTCGGAGGCGACCTGCAATACGCATGGGATCGATCACCGCGCTCCAGACCCACCAAGCTTTCCATCCTTCCGTAGTCGGCTAATTGGTACCAGACTTGAGGATAGCAGCACTGACCCGGTACATCGGTAGGCCATCGCAAGTCATTGTAAACACCAGATATGCATTCAATCACCTCCAACGATAGTTAATGAAGTTGAATGCATAGCGCATCCCTTAGGAATTAATCAACGTCGACAGCTTTATTCTTTTTTATAATTTATCTGCTAGTAAGCGATATAATTACAAAAGTCCTTTAACAGATCATTGCTATTATCACGTTTCGCCGGATTTGAGTTATATCAAATTAAAATAAACGCTGTTGAGTACGTTGCCATACCTCCGAAAGGGGTTTGATGAATTTCTGCATGCTATTAATTGCCTCCATTGATTTCATGGTGTCACTATTTACTAAATCAGAAAACTTCACAGACAGTACGAACAGAATCACCATCCAAAATTTGAAAGCAAACTAACCAAACTTGGCGTGCAACTGAGCAGCAAATTTGTTTACCACATCCTGCTTGACGTCAACAAATGCAACCATCTGCAACTACAACTTCTGAACCTAACTCATCCATTAAACTCGAAAGAGCGTCACCTGTATACAGCTGAAAGCATTGCTTGTAGCCGTTTCATAAATTGCCGTACATGCCGTAACGGCACTCGAGCTAACACTATTTCCGATATTACCTGTAAGTCAGAAGTCATAGGAAATATCTTCAATAAACACTGAGAATAGTACCTTTAAGAGAACAAACACACTGGCTTAGGATACGACCACAATGGTGCTGAGATATTTACAAAACCTCGGACCGCAGGTGTCTGCGGTAGCAAACGAACGCGCTAATACCCTTTCCCGGTGCTAACGCGTTCACCACGACACCATTCCAGTCCTTCGTTTTGTCTTTCTCTCAGCTAGTTTTATATCTACCAGTGCCATCTGCAATCGCTCGTTAACGGGATCACACGTCAACACCAGCTTGTTCCAATAGATTTCTTTCTCGTTGTCACAAAAACTGTACACCCATGAATTCTGCATCATGTATAATCTTGACGGAGAAATTTCTTTTAAAATGTAACCAACAACATTCTCAGCAGAATATTTGCTTATATACAAAAAGCGATTAAATCATACGAATTTCGTACACTCATTGAAATGAGGATATGGAAAATCTGAAACTTAAATCAATTTGAAAGCTTCCAAATTATAAAAATCAAGCACACATCGTCCAAATTTTATGCTCCGTTTTTTAGTCTAAGCCAATGGCCTATCCCCTCACCGCCGCCGGGAAGCTGTTCCTTGGCGTGGACACTATGTAAAGTGAGTGTTTACCCAAAGTAGGATCTTCCAAGTGCAAAAGTCAGAGGTTTCCACTAGCAAGTTCATTGGAGCAAACGAAAAAGCGCCGCCAAGTTTAGAGAATTAGCGCAAAGTGTTTAAAACTCTCACTTTTCTACAACACTCGATGGGTGGCTTCTGTTGGCTATCTTGGAACATCAATAAAAAAAAATTCGTTCGACGATTAGCCAATCAGACCCTATTACCATTACAGCATGCGCTCTCGTCTACGACATCGTGAGATAAGACATCTGGTGAGGAGGTGGGTTAAATCTCGGATTGTATCAATAGAACACATCTACGACACTTAATGGAGACTGTTTTACGCTTCGCACTTATAATACCAAAGCAGTATCCTCAAACAACGATGTTCAAGCATTCATAAAAGTTGCAGATGAACGGATTTGTCCACGACGAAAAGTGCTGCGAATTCGTGGTCAGGAACTTCGATACAGCAATAGGAAGGGCCAGCAAAAGTACAAATAGCAAACTAAATAACAGAGGAAGACGAAATGAAAGACTCGCATGGTGTGGCGGTGAACGTGTTAGCCCCCGTAAAGCATGTTCGGTCCCCACCGCAAACACCACCGGTCCGGAGTTTTGCAAGCATCTCAGTATTACTAGAGTTATGTAACAATAATAGTAATAGCAATAAGTGGAACAACGTATCAACTTGTTGGGATCAGCATTATATGTGAAGTCGAGTCAAAAATAAAAAATTATGCATTAGCTTTATTTTCTCGGATAACAAGATACACCCAAAACTTGAAAATTACGAATGTTTGAAAATATTACGCTTTTTGACACACTAAATAATCTAAAAAAACAACATGAAGCAAACGAAGTAACTCTCGGAAGTCGAATACAAGTGGCACTCTCAATATCTAGCCGGAATGCGAAGTTCAGATCCTCGAAACCTGTCACATCTCCGGATTCAGAAGAATACACATCAATAGAGAAACACAGATTGGTCGGTCACACAATGAAAAGAACGGACGACGTGTGGACGAAAAACCGTACAGTGGACTATATGAGAATGCAGGCGTCTTCTGTGCACAACAGATTGTAAAAAAATGTCGAAGATTTGATATTTAGGAAGTCAACTATTAAAACGCTTCATAACAAACGTGTATATTCTTCAGAGGTTGACTAATTTACGAACAGTATGCTCGTTTACGATAATCCAAGCACTATGCTTAGTATGCTTGCGATGCTGGGTCTGCATAGGATACGCGCAAATATTTGAATCGGGTCGTATAAGTGTACAGATTTACTAAAAACTACTCAAACTACAACTATAGTACTGTCCAATCTAACTGGTTGTCTCTTACACGCTAGTGACGACATGAGTCACTCATTTTCTGGTGCGGAGCTTTTGTTGAACTTTTCGTGTATAGTCGACAGTTTACTTGGCTACTTGGATGACCTGTCCTCATTGGTCGTGCGGATTTCAGCATAACCTCCACTTCCTCGGAGTTCTGCTGGTTTAGCCATTACGATTCCCTGGAGTTCCGAGGTCAGGCAGGCTAAAGTATGCCCCAGGTAGTCACCACCACAGATGTCGCCATCTTTGTGGACCAGAGGGAGATTTACCACCACGCGACTAGTTTGATACCAGGACGGTGGAGAACACTAGTATTGGTTCGCTATTGCTTGGGTTTCCTGATGGAAACGCCGGACACCTTTTCAGCTTGGGAGAATCTGCTGACTGTTGAGGATGAATGCCCCATTGTACATCGCAGTCCGACATCCAGAAACACCTCCCAGCCACGATGAGGCGGTAAACCGTTGGAAGGAGTAGATAACTTGCTTATTCAAATCACATGATGAGGCGAGAGAACCGAGAAAATCTCTATTCTACGCTTGGAAATACAAAAAACACATATGTTCATATACATATGGATGTGTACATATACGTATATGTACACGTACATATGTATATATGTATATGTATATATACATATGGATACACATATATATAAAGACGTTTCCGTAGAGTGTTAAATTAAATGCTGAATAGTGAGGTTTTTGACCATTTCACTATATCTCAGTCAAATCCGAGCTCCCGAACATTCACATTGTATTAATGGTTCTCTTTTTGAAAAGTGGTAAATTAAAATGAGAATCAAAATTAACGAACCACATCCAAGCCCAGGAATAGCTATAGATGTACACTGTCTAGCTACAGCCTCATGGAATATAGAGCGATATGCCTTATCAAGGTGATGAATATCCGGGTGAACAACGAGGAACACGAATTTTACTGCCAGCTGCAAAGCAAATGAATAGCTCCAGACAAATAGTGCTTGAGTCAAACTGTAGAATATAGTCTAATACATTGGTACATCAAGTCAAAAAAAGCGAAACGAACCTTAGTAGTTGTGGCATCCACGGCAAGGACGTCACCAGGGGTAAGCCAGCTTGTTAATGACTCTCTCGCCTTGTCGAAAGCAACCTGTAATACTGAAGGCATTGATAATGCACCTGTGAGAATTTAGTACGCAGTTTGATACAGATATCCATAAAAAGATAAAGGATAAAACTCTCGGCGTTGATCGATCCCTGAGGTATGCGCCATGCATTCGACTTCATCAAGCATCGTTGGAGGTGAATCGACATTTACACATAGACTCACGGTGGCCTACCGATGCATCGAGCCAGCGTTGCTAACCTCCCAGACAAGTCTGGCACAAATTTTTCGACCCTAAGGGGATAAAGAGCTTGGTGAGTTTTGGGAGCGGGGATCGATCCCATATGCATCACTAGGCGCCTCCGAACACTGCGCATGCGTCCTACAGACATCCATAGCAATAGCATACAGGAACTAACTATAGTGCAATGACTATGCCAGAGATGGTCTTCACTGTAGTTTAACTGATATCAATGGAGATTTTATTGATTAACCACTTTTTAGAGCAGTGTGTAGCGCAGTGGTCGGAAGCGCCCTGCAGTATATCCTTCCGTGGTCGGCAAATTGGTACCAGACTTGTCTAGGAGGATAGTAGCACTGGCTCGATACATCGTAAGGCCACCGCGAGTCATTGTAAAGGCCAGATATGTATTCAACCACCTCCAGTAATGCTTAATGAAGTCGAATGAACAGCACATCAATGGGATTGATCAACGCCGACAGCATTATCCTTTTTTTTTTATCTTTCAATCACTTTGTAATCTTCTGATTTGCAAGCAACAAACTCGTAACATGTCGTTATCATATTGAATTTCGAAAAGTTGAACTAAAGACGCTGGTTCATTACTGCAATAAAAAAATCCGTACCTTGTATTCATTGGTCCCTGCAACTTTAGTGAGGGCGTTCCACACAGAATGAGAGTGCCTCAAGGAGTCGCTCACAGATACGCAGATCACATCCACAGTCTCGTTGGCAATGTTACCCTAGAAGTGCGAATACCGGAACGAAATACCATATACCACATACTGACTCACCAATTTAGTGATGACACGGACACTTCCATTCCAGTTACCAATTGGTCCAATATTAAATTCGTGCATTAACCTGAAAGCAAACGTTCAGTTTTAATGTAATAAACCACAAGGAGGTAATCCGGATTCGAAATCGACTTCGTGGCTTCAAGTTTTATACTAACTGTGATGACAATGATGACAAGGCCATGTTTGCACACTGTATAGTGTTGGCTTAGGCTTGCAGGGTAACCCTAACACTCGTATGTTCAAGGAATCTGAAGTTCGCCTTTCCCATTTTCAAAAATGGAGGACTGGTTAAGTGAGTACTGATACCAGATGAGCAATCTCACAACAGTACTGTCGAGGTAGAAGCAACCTAGTATCGTCAGTTTGACGACCAGAGTACTGAAACTTCGATGATAACACTCTAAGAAAACAAAAACTTCGGTTTATGGAAACGTACAGGGGAAACAATTAAGTGAACTCACTTTCTGTGCTAGTTCAGAGCACTTAGGAAGAACCAACCTACTTTTCCAACAGTAATTAGTGCCTTAGCTTTCACTTATTGCCTATTCTTTTCTTATTTTCACGGGAGGATACCATTGTGACACACAACCACATGGATGCAAAGATATGAGCAAAACTGGGAACCTCAAATGTGCTTCAACCAGCGATTACGTTCACCCAGATCATTCCCGTTGACAGGTGATTCCTGATAGTATCGCTAGAGTTAAAAACTGGCCGATAGGAAAACGGTTGATGCAGTGGATAGCACGTGAAACCTTAGGAAGAGTAATCGTGGGTTCGCACCCCAGATGAGGTCTCAAGTTTTGCTCATATGTCGACATCCTTGAGGCTGTTCTAATTAATATACTGTTGCGGAAGTTGCTAACAATGAACGTAAAGGTATTGAGACCCCAATTTATTGGGTAACAAGGGAAGAAATCGTCGATAGCAAATGGGACTCGCAAAAAAGTAACCACAATTACGGAGCATGTAGCAACTTCATTTAATATAAGCGGATGGATATAATGGATAAAAGAATAAAGCTCTTGGCGTTGATCAATCCCTGAGGGATGCGCCGTGCATTCGACTTCTTTAAGCATGGTCGGAGGTAAATGAATGCCTATCTGGCCTTTAAAATGACTCGCAATGGCCTCCCTATGTATCAATCCAGTGCTGCTAACCTCCAAGACAAGTCTGTTACCAATTTGCCGACCCCGAAAGGATGGAAGACTTGGTGGGTCATAGGCGCGGGGATCGATTCCATATCTATTGCAGGACGGCTCCAAACCGCTGTTCTACACCCGACTTCTGTGGATAGTAAATCGGATATAACAAAACGACAAAAGAGCAAAAAGCCTTAGAGCCTAAGTAGGACATATTCACTATGATGAAACGGAAAGTTTCAGGTGTATGATGTCGGAACAACCTTGAAATGACTGCATCGAAAACGTCGTTTGCGTGGAACTGTAAGCGAGCGTTCCCCTTCAATGGAAACAGGTTCACTCTGAATGAGTCATCGACTTCGCCTTAGGAAACAGCTGGCAAACGTAGCTTATTCGGAATTGCGATCGATTACTGAAGCCTCTGAAGGAAGAAAGACTTAGGAATCCATATGACAGACCGAAGACACATACACACAAGTAAATAACAGGTTCAAAAAGCATTAATATTAGCCTTACTTGAACGACCGAACAGAATTGTACATATGCAGCTAAAGTACTTAAGGTAGTGGATACACACAAAGCCAACTATTCGAGATTTCCCGGAAGCCTAAGCCTACCGATTACTCCCATTACTCCATCACTCATACTTGTCACCTAAACGACTGACCAAATTCTTTATAACCACTTAGGTGCTTTAATAACTGACAACCAGCGAACAAGATATGCGATGGTCACAATGGCGCGTTTCCATAAATCACCTTACGCACGGTTATTGACGAATATTGAAACGCTTTCTCCGCAATTGCGAACCACACTCCTCATAGTTGAGAGTACAGTATGAAAGAGCCGTTGAAGGTTTCACTATCACCTCTCGTCATCTTCAATCGTATTCTGATTAAGGCAGATGTTTAACTAAAATGGAGTGGCTACTCGTTTGGATTTGAAGTTCGAGAACCTTCTCCAACTTGAATCTCAGCAACGTTGTTGTTTTCACGGTTAGTATGGCGATGGACTCTTTTTCCCGTGGGAATGTACTAGTTCTGTGTCAACTGTTAATGTGTTACAGCAGTGGTTGCTGATGAAGGTGACTAAAACCATTGCTAGTAAGATCTCTCGTGGTTGGTGGGCGTGTTGGGCGCAGTGAGGGAAATCCTCATTTTCAGGGAAGATTGCTATTCCAATTTCAATGCCATCTACTGCGTAGTACATTTCGCTGAATATTTGGTTCCGGGAAACGGAACTAGAAAGATGGCAATCGCTTCTTTACTCTTGTACGTCGCTTTCTTGATTCGTATGAGTCGCATCGGACTCATGTGATTTAAGAAAGGGTACCTACTTGTTATTGTTTTGGTGATCTAGCTACCCAATGTTTCATAGTGTTTTGTGAGAGTGCTTCTCACGAAGTTTTTTTACTTAGTAAGGACATATCCTCGTTAGTAATCGTTGGTTTTCGACAGCCTGATTCTTCTCGTCTCTGTTTTCCCTTTTCTTCTGTTGTTCTGAGTCCTTATGAATCCTGTTTTAGTGGCATCTTAAAGTCTTGAGCCTTTCCCGTTCATTAACATAAGTAATCCTTATTTTATCCTCATCTTGTTGTGGGCGTTCAATTTGTTTTTCAGAAATGAGGTTGTTGCCGTTTTTCAGGCTTATTGCTAGAGTTTGTTCTCTACAAGAAATGTTCGTTGCCCGATTTTTCCGACTTCCAAGAACATGTTTTGGTTTGTCTAACGCTCATGGCATTCACTTTTCTAGAGGTTATTAATGTTATTTTTCAGATTCATGTCATTCTGAACCGTTCACATGTGGGCACTTTGTTCACTTATCCAAGTCTTACGAGTTCGTTTCAGTTATCAACCCTTCGTTTTCAGTTATTTCGTTTCCAACTATACAATTCAAGTTGTCCGACATAGGTGAAGGAATTGCTGAAGTCCAAATTAAGGAGTGGTAAGCTTCGACACGCCGTTTATTCATTGGTCATATTGATTTGTATGGTTTTTGAGAATGTTTTCTGAGAATTGTTTTCAGGTATGTAAAGGTTGGTGACAAAATATCCCAGTTTGACAACTTATGTGAGGTGCAGAGCGATAAAGCTGCCGTTACTATAACTAGTCGATACGATGGTGTCATCAAAAAGCTGTGGGTTGTTTCGCTTCGTACTCAATGCACCACGTGCCTGCGGGTTTCGTATTGTTCTGTGAAGTGCGTAGAAGCACCTTTTCAGACTCTATAATGTTGATGACATGGCTCGAGTAGGTCAACCTTTAGTTGAGATTGACGTGGAGGATGGATCGAAAGGTAACGAAGTTCCTTCACAACTTAAAAAATGTATTCGAGATGTTTTTAAGTTTATTCTTTATCTGCGGAAGACGTATTATTTACTTAGTGCGTAGGTTGTTAAAGTTTCTGACCGTAAAATTTGAATTGATCCCTGAGGGATGCGCTATGCATTCGGCTTCATTAAGCATCATTGGAGGTGAATGTATATCTGGCCTATACAATGACTCGCAGTAGCCTACCGATGCATCGAGCCAGTGCTTCCATCCTCCTGGACAAGTCTGGTACCAGTCTGCCGAACCCGGAGGGATGGAAGGTTTGGTGAGCCTATGACGCATGATAGACAAGTCTATAACAAGGCGCTTCGGATCACTGCGCCACAAGCGGCCTAGACCAGAGTATGGTGAGTGGGGCGGAGTTTCGTAACCCCATTCCTTGAACTCGTTAGTTGTACAGTGAGCGGTTTAGGGTAAAACGATTGGAAGCGTTCCTTCGATTTCGTCTTATGGGTAAGCGTAGTGAGAACTGCGCTACAATACACGGTTTTTAGCTTAATCATCATTCCCGGGGTAATCAAGCACTCCATCTCTTATGTGGATAAGGAAGAAAACGTTAATTTGATACATCGCTAGGCCAATTCATTTGCCTCAGCGGTCATTAATAGACGTATCGCACTAAGTATCTCCCAAGAATTGATAAACACTGAGAGCCATATGACTTCATCTCTCACTTCTCTTTTCTTATCGTTTGATCACGGATTGTTACATGACCTAAGATGAAAAAGCCATCGCAACCATTTTTTGGGGGAAGTCCTTTTTTAGAAAGCTTTAAGAAGCTTCATCCTTTTTCAACAACATAGCTAAACATTATCAAATCCACTTTTTACTGCACGTCGTAAAAGATAAAGTTCTCGGCTTTGATCAATTCCTGAGAGATGCCCCATGCATTCGATTTCATTAAGCATCGTTGGAGATGGTTGAATGCATGTCTGGCCTTTATCACTCGCGATGGCCTAAAGATGTATCGACCCAGTGCTGTTATCCTCCCAGACAAGTCTGGTACCAATTTCCGACCCCGGAGGAATGGAATGTTTGGTGGACCTGTGGTGCGGTGTACAGAATCAATGCATGCAAAAAGTAATTGTCAGGAAATGTATTTGTAAATTTCATGATGACAGTATTTCACATTTGTGGGCAGACCTAGTGTCTTTTTCGTAGTACTATTCTCATTTCTTTGAGTGCCTATCTTCAATGAAATGGATTGTCTTTAATTTCCCTTGGGACCTTCTTGAACTGCTGCTTAATTTTCTTAATTTTCCCGACGTTCTCAGTCATCGTGACAACACATGTTGGGCTTTCTCAGTTCATTCAAGTGTGCGAGAAGGAATAGAATTTGCCTTCCGATATAGAATGTGCGCTTTCCTAAGAGAAGTTCAGGAGAATAGAGCTCTACACGTTTAAAGACGAAGAAGCGTCGACGAATTTTTATTCATGTTATTATTAGTCGGCTTTATGAGCACCAACGAAAAGTTGTTTACTTATTACAGTTACTGATGACAGTTCATTTCATCAAGCTTCAACGCTGTCTACATCCACTGCTGTACCACCTACTTCAACAGCCGGAAGCTCCATAGTTCAGTTCAAACTCACCGATATTGGTGAAGGCATTGCCGAAGTGCAAATAAAAGAATGGCAAGTATGAAATGCTTTGCGCTTACTATTTTTGTCGATTTATTTGTAACTGAGAGTGTTAAGGTATGTAAAAGTTGGTGACAAGGTATCGGAGTTTGATAGTTTATGCGAGGTCCAAAGTGATAAGGCTGCAGTGACCATAACTAGTCGGTACGAAGGTACCATCAAGAAATTGTAAGTTTTATTTTGCTGAGGCTATTACATGGTGCATTAATTTTGTGTTACCATAGGTTACATAAAGTCGATGAAGTGGTACGAGTAGGTGAACCACTGGTTGAAATCGAGGTTGCTGGAATGATGAGCAATACGGATGCTGTTTCGCACCATCAAACTGGTATTTATCGACTTTTTTAAAATTTACCCATTTTTCCTTATTAGGCCGTGTTATAATTTTTATGTGTACGTGTATAGCTTTATATGTATAAGGGGCGGATAGCACAGTTGTAGTGATGCCGATCATCACGAACATAGTGCTGGTTCGATCCCGCCCCAGGTTCACCAATTCTCTCATCCCTTTGTGGTCGGGAAATTGGCGCCGGACTTGTCCGGAAAGAAATCACTCTCTGCAATCCAAATGGGAACGCTGCACCTTGGCTACTCAGGACTTCATGGAGAATCGACTCGTCCAGCATTATAAGACATTCAAGACGAAATAGAAATTCTTAAGCAGAAAGCCGAAGGAACATGTAAAAGTTAGAAGACTTTCGTGGATGCAAGAAAACGAATCGAATGTAAGAAATGCTGGGATCCGCACAGTTGACGTGCGGATCGTATAAAATAAGAAATATGTATACATGCTTTATATCATAAGTCAGTGCATCCTGTTCTAGCTCACTCATAACTGATTGAGATAATCTAAGTAGATCAATGCCATTTTCGAGTCACTGTCCATCTATTTAGGTTTACGCTCTTTAGCGCTTTTGCATTCTAATGGGACGGTTTTGTCATATTTGGAGACTTACTTCTTTTCTGTCTTCGTTAGGTCGCCTGCAGGTCGTTTATATTCTGCTGATATTTCTCAAATGATGAGGGTATCTCGGCAAAGTTATCGAAAAAGTGTGATACTAGCTTTCCGTCACCACATATGCCTCTTTGTTTCTCCTTTGAAATACTTGGGGGTGGTAAAAGACCCAAGGTAGGAGTTTATTTTTGTGCTGCTGTTGTAGTAGAGCTTCTATAGGAAGCCATTGCTCTACTTGTTTGATCATTGCTTACAGAATGGTATTCGTTTGAAGTTGACGAAATTCTATCAGATTGGATAGTAACTCCAATGATGGCTTTGGTTCTCTTTCTTTTAGGTTTTATAGTCACGAAAATTGTAAATATTCTTCATAAGTACTCCTGTTTTTTCTTACATGGGGTCCGTAGCAGCTTTTTAAAGCTATCTGTTTGGAATCGCTTATATTATCGGTTCAGGGAAATGACCCGGTCTAAGCTGTTTCTGTCGTTCACCGTCATGAACAATAGGAAGAGAGGCTTTTCAATTTGTGGCTATTTTTTATCTTGAGTGCTGTTTGTGATAGCCGAGGATGACGATTTCAGTTATCATTTATGTCTTCTGTTCCACCATTATCGCCTTACAGCTTTCTTGGCTTTTACTATCTTGATATTGAAGCAAATTTGTTGGCTGGGTTTTAGTGAGTAGTAGCTAACAACACTAGTCTTCATTCTACACACTTTGCCATGACTGCAAAAACAAAGTAGCCATGAGAGGTTGTGAGTATGATTACATACGAGTATTCGTAATGGACAACAGGCGGATGTATATTATCAACTAACCACAAATATCTCCACCGTGTTAATTTTGCGGCCTATGCTTCTAAGCATGAGCAGGGACGCGTGCAGTGCAGAGGTCAGAGGCGCTGTGCAATACTTGACTTACTTGATACTTGAACAGCCCCTCCTCACTGGTTGTGCGGGCTCCAGTATAGTCTCCATTTTTCGGAGATTTGCTGGTTAAGCCATTAGGGTTCCCTGGAATCCCAAGGTTAGCGTGGCCAAAGTCTGCGCTAGGTCTTCACTACCACGGGAAGCCATAGCCCTTGTAAATCAGAGGGAGATTTGCCACCATGCGACTTTCATACCAGGACGGTGGTGGATCCTGGTATTGGTTTACTTTTGGCTAGGTTTCCTGATGGAAACGCAGGACTCCTTCTCGGCTTGGGTTTGGCAGTCCGACACCCAGGAACACCTCCCAGCCACGATAAGGTGGTAAACCGTTGGGAGGGACGACCTGCAATACATGTGGGATAAATCCTCGTGCCTAGTCTCACCACACTCGCCATCGCTTCGGGGTCGGCAAATTGGTACCAAATTTGTCTGGGAGTATAGAAGCACTAGCCCGATACATCGGTGGGCCACCGCGAGTCATTGTAAATACCAGACATGCATTCATTCACCTCCAACGATTCTTAATGAAGTCGAATGCATGGCGCGTCCCTCAGGGATAGGTTAATGCCGAGAGCTTCACCCTGTATCCTTTGCGGATAGAAATTTCGAACCTATACTGTTTTATCCATGTGCTGCCTCTTTTGACTTGAACTGATTCCGTATACGAATATCTGTCGGTGTAAACAATGCCCAGTATTTGGGGGCTAATTATTTCTTTCGACGATTGATCTTGTAAACGTAAATAAGTCTATTTCTCGCCAAATGCAATATGATCATATCAGGTGTTGATACGTTTACTTAGCAAAGTAATGGAAGAAGTTATCAGGCACTGTGCTGTTTTCCATACATCTCTTCATGTGTATACTTTTTTTTAGAACTTATAAGGGGTTTGAGCACATGGGAAGAATATACGAATTTCGCCGATATTTACCCTTCTTATCGCGGTATTTCCCTTATTGTGTATGGTCATGGTTTATTTCAGAGCTTTCCAAGCTGTTACAACCATCAGCAGGGCCCAGTACATCCGAATCTCTTGGTCATATTGCTTCTGGAAAGGTACTTGCCACACCAGCAGTTCGAAGAGTTGCAATGGAAAACAAGGTGACTTCCTAGTGTTTTCATGAAAGATGTTTTGAAATTAGTGCAACTTTTGAAATCTTCTATTTATTCGCCATTTTCCCGATCTTATGTTTACATTGTTTCGAATTCTTTGGGATATATAAAGGCTAATCTTCTTTCATGTTTTTCTGATCTAATATTTTCGTTAAGTCGATTGTGACATCTTTTTATGTGAGCTATTGGGTTTGCGCATGGTCTATTATTTCATGGTCACTAAATTCTTAGATTCTTGAGCAAATATGAGGTCCATGAAAAGATTTATTTGGTTAGCGTTTCGACTTTTTCGTCTTCTTCAGATCTGAATTAGTTCGACTCGGTAATTCACAGTTGGTCGTCCTCGCGATCTGCTTGTTCGTTGTCGCAACGAATAGAATCCAATGGTAGGAGTAGCGCTTGAATAAAGAAAACGATTTCTTAATTATTCATGGAATGCGAATAAACCTGAGGCTACAACCACATTGTGAATAGTTTGCTATCAGTACGATGATGATTTCGGATACAAATTTGCTCTTAACTAGGCCTTCGTTTGAGGATGTCGGACTTATACTCTGCGTTAGAGACTACTTGAAAGGTGAACCTCCATTATGCCAGTTTACTGCAGAAGCAGTTGTGGTTTCCTGTTTCTTGCGTTGGGTTTTAAATCGTTGTAACTTGGCTCAAGTACATTTTATTACCCAAAATCAATACCATTGGAATCTACGCATGCTTCTTCAATTAAATTCAAGTTTATTAATTCGATTTTATAGGATTCTGAAGATCAATTCTTCAAAGGCATTTTTAACAGATGCTTTCTGGCTAAAGATTTTTCCTTAGAAGTAGTTGGGAGGTGATTGAAAAGTGGGACCTGGTTGGAGAGAGGTGTAATTAGTACGGTGGGCGATGGTGGGGTTCCGTATCCAGCTCGCCGTCTGCAGCGTTATTTGTGCAATATGTGGACGAGCTGTGTGCAAACGATATGGACGTCTTCTGTTGACCAGAATTAGATAAGTATGCTGGAATTTTTGATGCATTTAGACGGTTTCCTGAGAATACTTTTCCGCTGTGATCGTTTCGCCAAGATTTAGAAGTGGATGGTTCCATATACTAACCATAACACGAAAGCAACACCCTTCTTATGTGGCAATCCGGTTTCGGGAATTTTTAGGTAACTTTAACTCGTGGAAATGGCAGTGAACTTAACGGAATAAAATGAGGAACTTTCTTGAAGTTCTGTGGCATTATTTTTTTCCTGAACAAAATGAGGAATAACATCTGGATAAGAACACTTAGAAATCGTAAGAGCAATCATTTTGAAGCACCAATTTCTTACTGGTTGGAGATTTTCTGAAAATTGTTGGAACAGAACGGGCACTCGATGTGTTCTGTTTATTTGTCAGGAAGGATAGCAGCGCTATTAATACATCAATAGCCGACGGTGAGTCACTGTATAAGCCAGATACATCTTCTATTCATCTCTAATTATGCTTAACGAAGTCGAATGCGTGGTTCTTCTCTTAAGGGCAGATTACGTCTTTATCCTTTATCTTTCATATATTCGCACTTGTTCTCTGACAGTCCATCCAACGACGACAATAACACTTGTAGTATTCAGGTCGATCTGAAAAAGGTGAAAGGAAGTGGCAAAGATGGGCGTGTATTGAAAGAGGATGTGCTTAAATTCCTTGGTCAAGTCAAAGAAGGTACTTTTTCTATATTTACTGAAGTTAATTTGAGGTGATCATGTTAGTTTCAGATTACTCAGTAATCTCCACCCATGTAAGAGTATCGCCACCAGTTCCAACCCATTCTGGAGTGAAAATGGTTGGTTCATATTGCTATAGGTTTTTCCTTCCTTTTCTATTACAACCTCTATTATTCTGTGAATTCACTGCAGACTCTGATATCTTCTAAGTTTTCAGGTAATGTTCTTATATTTAGCTGTCTCCTTTGAGTGAAGATCGTGTAGTTCCTTTGCGCGGTTACACTCGAACTATGATCAAAACGATGATAGAAGCGCTAAAAATTCCCCATTTCGGATACGATGATGAGGTTTGTTCAACAGACATATCAGCTATCTGGGCGGTTCATTAGTCACTCTCTGTCATGTTTGTTAAAAGCAATTTCTTCTACTTAATTCTATCATCTTGGAACTACTGTGGTGGTTATCGTATTCACCTATGATTCGACCTCAGTTTGCTGAGCTCACTGGTGATTTATGTGAATAAAGTTATCTTACTACAAAAAACACGTGGGATTTTTTTAGACGACGTCCTTTGGGTTATTTCATCCAATTCAGATGCACTTTAACGTAACAGATTGTCATTGTATACAACACACACTTAAAATTATTTCGCCCTTAAAGTCTAAAAAACCGTATGTCAACTCATAGTTAACTTTATTAGTCGGAATAAAATACATTGAAAGCTACAAGTCCTTGCCAGCAGTTATTTGATCTATAGCTTCAAAATTGTAATTTTTTTGGACACATGGGGCGGACTTCTGACTTTTTCTATCAAGGTTAGTATTTTAAAAACCGAATCAGCTGGCTAGGTGCGATTTCGTAGAACAGGGCACGATAATGTCCTCCAGTGTCTTGATGTTTGCACCCGTCGCATTTACATGACCAGTTTTATAAATATGCCTTTCACCATAATTTTCTTCATGAACGTGAATGTATACGTAGATGAAACAGATTTAAAAGACACAGACGTTTCAAGAAATTATTTGTGTATCTGTAGCGATGGAATAAACCTTCTTCCAATAGATTTTGAAATTCCCAAAGACGTCATTGGTCTTGTTATCGAAAAGTTGTCGACACTTGTGAAAAGAACTAGGATCGGGCGTTATAGATGAATATTCATCGTTAAGTTGACGTTTTCTGTTCTAAACTAAGACCGACTTAATGTTGAGTGCTTTAGAGGACATCAGACGAGTGCGCTGTTTATTGTACCCTGCAATATTTTCAATATTCCCGAAGTATTAGCCATAAGTCTGAAAGAAATGTTTTGTTAAATAAATGTGCACGTAACTAATATGAACAAGTTGGTCAGTAGCTACGCTACACATTCAGAGATCTACTGCGTAGCTTGCCGTCTTCTACTGAGTTCTTCTCTTAAGCTATAATCTGTATTCACTGGACTTTTACGTGTGCATAGGATGCAGTCTTATTCCTCTAGTTCTATGAGCTACTGTACTTTAGTTTCTTCTTAAATCTCTTCTTCAGTTGTTATCTGTATTGTGATAGGCACAGTCAATTCACAGTCATGAAAACTATTCGAAATAGGTGTTTTCTCAAATCCCACATACATCGTCTTCTACTCATTTAACTGCACATATCTCTATTCTTCTATTTTGAAGGTTCATGCTGACGCACTTATGGAGATTCGTAACGAATTGCAAGAATTTGCAAAGGAGCGAGGAATTAAATTCAGTTTTATGCCATTTTTCATTAAAGTAGGTTGTTCGGTACTAAAGTTGACTTGTAATCTTTCCTGTCTCTAGGCATAATTTTAGGCTGCATCGTTGGCACTTACAGAGTTTCCATCAATAAATGCGTCAATTGATGACAAGTTCGAAAACATTATTTATAAGGTACTGACCTATTGTGACTGTATGAATTTCCTTCTTTTAAACGTGTTAATAATTTTTCTGTTTTCACGAGTACCCCTAGTTTTTAAGGCATCGCACAATATTTGTCTAGCTATGGATACTCCTGGTGGTTTGGTTGTGCCGAACATCAAGCATTGCGAGCAGAGGTGTTTTTTTGTATTTTTTACATCGAACTATTTCTCCACTAATGTAACATTTTTTTGATTTTATTGATTCTTGGTTTTCAGATTTTGTAACACAATTTTCTTAGATTTGAAGTGGCTTGTAACTGTAGTGTGTAGATGTACCTTGTTTAGTTGGATGGTTAGGTAAGCGTTGATTGGTAATCAGAGGAATTCGCACCGAAAGCAGCATTTGTTAGGCATCAGTGTAAAAAAATGAGAAGTGATTAAATTTATAGCTATTTGTATTTATGCAGAAGTGTTTGGAATACACAAAATATTTTCTGGACTATTTAAATGTGTAGATGTACATTTATACATACATACCTATGCATATACTTGGATACTTGGACGGTCCGTCTTCACGAGCACTGCAGACTACAGCACATATGCCATTCGTTCCTTTCTCTCGCAATCGTAGTCCATGGTGGTGGTCTTGTTCGAGCATGGTAGCGCTTGCGAGTCTCATACCATGATCTGTAAAACAACTGCAGCTGCGTGCACAGCTGATTAACTTTGGGTACGAACACGTCCGTCCACTTTGTAGGTGGCCGTCCTAGGGGACGCCTGCATTCTCATATAGTCCAGTGTACGGTTTTTCGTCCACCTATCGTTCGTTCTTATTATGTGACCGGCCCATCTATGTTCCGCTGTCGATGTATATTCTCCTGGATCTCGAAGATGTGATAGATTTCGAAGGTCAGAACTTCGCATTACGACTACATATTGAGAGTGCCGGTTATATTTCAGAAGACATTGCTCAAGCGCTCTGTGAGTAGTGCGAAGCATTCTTGACGTAGTTGAAGTATCAACCCACGTCTCTGCAGCATAACAGAGCGCTGGAAGGACCGTAGAATCGAAGAGGTGAGCCCGGATTTTCGGGTCCTTCAATTGGCCGGTGGCTTCTTTGAGAGGCCCGAATGCCGCCCAGCTGCTCTCCTTCTTCTATCTAGTTCCTCCTTCATGTTGTTTTCCATGTTCATTGATCGCCCAAGGTAAACGTACGAGGTGGTCTCTGCAATGAGAGAGCCATCCAATTCAATTTTTTCGCCTTCGCACCATGGGTTTTTCATGAACTGGGTCTTCTTTCGATTTATGTGAAATCCGTTCTGTTTCCCTGCTATATACGTATATACATTTATATATATATATATATGTACATATATACACATGTATACATATGCATATATATGTAATGTTTTAAATATAGCGTTTAAAATGCAGAATCATCGAAGTATTTTAAAGAGAATGAAGCCTCATAGGGCGTTGGTGGTGTTAATTACCATAGTTTACTTATTATTAAACGACCTGACATCATATGTATCACATTGTGTGTATCCCAGCATTTTCATTCGACTAGTTTCTTCACATCTACCATCCACAAAGATTTTCGAACTTGTTTGCTTGTGGCTTCGGTTGCTCTTTGAGAATTTTTTCATCTTCGTAATGAATTTCGTCCAATGCCGGTCTAGTCGATTCTGAGATATCATAATCCTTATATATATATATACAGACCTAGTATCAATTTCCAGGCCCCGAAGGATGAGATTCTTGATAGGCCCAAGGTGGGGTCAAAACTACAACTGGGTGGGTTGGCTAGTCCGAGTTAAGAATGGGATCACAAGCACTATGCTACCCGCTACCTCATCATAATTAGTGTGGTGGCAATTATGGCGGCGGAAAACATTACCCTATGAGCATGGCCTTAATTAGTGGCTAAAAGTGTTTTAACACATTCGCCGTAGTATTAATCATCATGTTTAATGCCTATTTATAATCGTGTGTAATGTATAATGCCTTGGGTCGCTTTAATAGTCTGACTGTTTTGCTTACAGATGTTTCGCTTGCTGTGCAAACAATTCCAACTGCACCTTTTTTGTAATGCTGCATGGCTTCCTTGGCACGAATGTGCTTGACACTTTTCTACGCGATATAATCTACGAAAACAGTTATAAGCATTTGTAGGGTGGCATTAGTAGCTCTAGAAATTTTTTAAAAAACCAGTTTTCTGAAGTTTTAGGCTAGCAAGGCTCTTAATGAATAGATCCTCACATTTTAGATCTATTTTTGAAATAGCTTCCGAACTCAATCGGCTGCATGAGGATGGTAAGCGTGAGAAAATCGCACGTGAAGATCTCATGGATGGCACTTTCACCATCAGTAACATTGGAAGTGTAAGTTACTCGTAGCTTAATGTTATTCTTTTTTTTTTACGTTGTCATATTCAGATTGGTGGGACGTATGCGAGCCCGGTTATTTTTCCTCCACAGGTAGCAATTGGAGCATTGGGCAGAATTCAAAAGCTGCCGCGCTATGACAGTAACGATAACGTAAGTATTTGGGAATTGTTATGTTAATTTCTGTAAAATCTTGAAGTTATTAGATTGATCTGAATTGCTTTGAAATTTTGTTTTACTTTTAGCTCGTGCCAATGCATATATTCAAAGTTTCTTGGGCTGCGGACCACCGTGTCGTAGACGGTGCCACTATTGCGCGCTTCAGCAACCGGTCAGACAGCTTAATTATTTTATATGAAGAAGATTTTCCATCATTTTTAAATTTTAATTTTGAGTTTCAGGTGGAAATACTACTTGGAACACCCATCAGCTATGCTCACACTGCTGAAGTGAAAATCGTTTTTAGGAAAAATACACAATTTTATTTTGCATTTCTTACTACGTAATGCTCATTTTAAATACTTGTTACAATTTCTACTGGTTGAATGTTTCATAGCCAAAGGCGTTAAATTATGAGAATTATTTTGTCGTATGTCCTACGGTGTGCCACTGCCTCTGGTTGTTCCCGGTTATGACACTATATGCCATATTCAAAATAACATTTTCTCAATGGACTGGTATGGTTGGATTTTCTAAAAGATGCTTCACTTCGTTTAGATTACGATATCATCATGGTCTTGTTACAGTGTTGTTACAATTTTCTCTGGAAACCTAGTCATTTTAACAAATTACTGTTTTATAGTTTGTCCCTTGAATGAAACAGTTCTGTGATCTCAGTGAAAACTGACATTATAAATGTCGATCGTGGTAAGATGTGTGGAAAGTGCATTCGTTTTCCCATCGTATGAGTTAGACAACCCTTGTACAGCTCGTGTTGCATGTAAGAAATGGGAGTCAGGAATGAAAAAAGTGGCCTGAGATGAGGTACGAGGTCACGTGGGATGATGTGGTAGCCGTGCTTTCATTTCGTTGCTAGATCATCGTAGTTTATCCAGGACGTCTCAGGAACCTTATGTGATGTCACATTTGATCATGGAGCTATAACATCCTGCCTGTCTGTTTTACGCATGCGTGATGTGGTACTTTTTGGTTATCTTGAGTAACGTATATGTCTGTTCTTTTGCGTCAACACAAAGTCTTCTTGCTTCAGGTCTCACATCATTTTTATGCTCCTTTGGACATCATAAAGGACGTAGTACAGTTTATGGTGTGCATGAACGTGTGATAGGATGTCAGCAGTTACGGTAAGTAGCAACGCGGTTTTATGTTGTACATAGGTAGTAGTGAATGCGATTGCATGACTTGGCACTTTGTCTCGGAGTACTTTTATTGTCTGAAACCCATTTATTATCCAGGATAAAATATATAAATAGCTTCGCTCCGTATATGTTCTATGGCTAAATAGTAGAAAAAGGTTTCTGATATCCTGCTACGTGGGATGTGGTTCCCAACAGAGGTGTTTTTGCTGTTTGAATCTCAACTTTGGGTTGTTGGTTCTTCGTGTGAACAAGGGGAAGAAAATGATGAAACTAAACAATTTGCAACCGATACGACGTCAGAATCCTTAGAAGGTTTCCTCGAAATCGATGTCAAATTTCAACCTGTATTTTTAGTGGCATGCTCAGCTCGGAATAAACTGTACTAATCTGAATAAAAAATACTGGGATGTGCACGTGTTTACCAACGAGAAACGGGGTTATTTATACGTTGCAAAAACTTCTAAATTTCTGGAGGAGACGGAGTCATCTAAGGAAGTTTAACCGTCGACTTGATTTCTGATGCTTTTCGCGTATAGATATTTGTAAAGATGAGAGGTCTGGCGAGTGTGGTGGGCGAGGCAGTTTCGTAGCCTCACTCATTCGAGTTCTACAGCATCAATAGTGCGATGTGGATGGCCCCACCTCGTCGTGGAGAAAGATTGATCCCCTTTCTGTTGGGATAATAAAATGGGGACCGTTGAAATTTCTGGTGCATTTCATTTGTTTGCTGTACTCACTTCCTCACCGTAGTCTTTTGACACTTATTCGGAAAGTTTTCATGGATCAAATCAGCTACAGAGCACCCAACGGCCAGTGTGATCTTCCTTCGGTTCACTATCGGCTTTGAAAACTTGAGCTTCATTGCAGTCCATTCACTAAGCCGATCGACACTGGCTTTCACAGAGGATCCATTTCTTGTTGCACGTCACAATACTTTCGATAAACGGGTCGTTCAGGTTAAAGCGCTACCAAGCTCCAACGACTTCCTTCCTTGCTTGTCATTCAGTTCATATGCCACCATTCTTCGAGTATCGACCGATTTCTGGAGATGCTCCGAAGTAGTTGAAATGGTTACATCAAGTGCTTGTTCAAGCCCTCGAAGCTATGCGTGTATTTGCTTCCACCAAACCCTGCAATTAATTCGAAGCCGTCATTAGCAGAAGCACATCCACGACCTACCTCATTTTGAAAGTTTTGAAAACCGCCACCAAATTTTCAAAACCAACTTTGCACCGTGAATTCGATAACAGTTCCTTGGCCCTATACCTCAACGATGTTTCGAGCCGTTTCCGCTGCATCACGTCCGAGTTTGAATTCATAAAAGTAAGTTTGTTGGAAGTCCTATTTTGACATCTGAAAGTTTGTCAAAAGTACAATTGAAATCGCAATTCAATTATACGGAGCGGAAGTGCGTAAAATGAACTTTGCAATGGTTTGTAATAGTATAGCATTACTTTGAAAAACTATTAGTAAAACATACACAACAGAAATGGAATCGGTGATCGGACGTTAGTTTCGGAAAGACCTAGAAGAGCTGATGAACTGAGAAACTAAGACTCAAATGAATAGGAAAGGTCAAAAATCTTTCAGTAGGACGTGAATACTCATGTATCATTTAAAGAGTCAGAGCAATACTAGAGGGAATAATGTTTTTGTTTAAGAAGAGATCCTAATAAGGATTGGTTTTCCAATCGGGACAATCAGATAAAGCTTATTGAGAGCATAGTGCTGTTGATGTGCGAAAGCAGATGAGGTGAACGAGAGATAGCTTCGCTTAAGCGAATCGGTTACCAGATAATGATAAATAGATTGCATAGAATGTTCACCGTATAAGAATAGAAATCCTGAATTAGGAAGGATGATTTGAACAGCACTATACAGGTATCCTCCCAACGTTTTACCACCTCATCGTGGCTGGGAGGTATTTTAGGGTGTTGGACTGCAATGTACAGCGGGAGATTCGTTCCCTCGGTAAGGTTTCCCAAGCTGAGAAGGAGTCCAGCGTTTCCATCAGGAAGCCTAGCTAAGAGCAAACCAATACCTGGACCTACAAAGTCGCATGGTGGCAAATCTCTCTCTGATCCACAAGGGCTGCGACTGCTTGTGGTGGTGAAGTCCTGGAGCACGCTTTTGCCAGGCTGACTTCAGAATTCCAGGGAACGAAAATGGCTTACCCAGTAAATCTACGAAAAATGGAGATTGTGCTGGGACCCGCACAACTAGTGAGGGTGAGCCATTCAAGTATCAAGTAAGTAAGTATACAGGTATACTTTAAATTCAAGTGCGTGAACAGAGAAAGCATTCGCTATTTAGTGGAGAATGTTCTAGAGATCGTATACATAGCCATCGAGAAAAACAGTGTTTTCAAAACATTTAACCATGATTGAATGTTGCTTTTTGAGTCTTCACTGAAACAACAACTATGGTACTGAATAACACTGTATACGTTTCTGCCCAAGACCTGAAGAACATGGTATAGCCGAAAGATTAGAATAGATGCTTCGTTAACTTCATGTCGTCTTACCAAAGATAGTTTGCAGGGACACAAAATATTTCCTGTTAATTCCGAGTTTAATTAAAAGTAAACTATTTTTTCCTAACAGATAACATCGTTTTAAGACAATAATTACACATGTAAGTTACTGATAGGCTGCGCGTGGCGTAATGGTGTGAAGACAGCAATACACTAGTGGTCGTTTTATCCCACCCCGTAGCTTCAACAAACCTTTCATCTCTCTGGAGTCAGTACATTGGTGCGAGACTTATCTGAGAGGATAGCAACTGGTATTATTCATCGTTATGCTACCGCAAGTCATTTTATAGGCGAGATATGAATCCAATCACCTCGAACTCGAAGACGTTTAATGTATGGCGCATCTTTCAGGGATTGATCAACGCCGTGGGCTTCATCCTTCTGTTCACTTAAGTAAATATAACACCGACTTGTATAGAAGTTTCAAATACGGTTTCCTTCCGTAGAGAAACTGTCATCTACAGTACTTCTTTCATATCATGTTTACTATAGTTTACATTGTCTGTGACGTTGTCCACATTATAGACGAAAATCGTTTCCGTTTCCACAAAGTACAAATTTTGTCATTGGTAGTGGACTCCTGTGTAAGCACCAAATTACTGCAAGAGAAAAAATCGTTGAATTCCATGCTGCTTTAAGCCACGAGTTGAGCAAGCCATGGAAGCTACTGCACTAGTGACACGTGATTTTGCTGAGAACTAATTTATTGTTTATTAAAGCATCGGTGCTAAATGCTTTCTGCAAACTCTACACTGCTGTTTGTTTAAAGCTTATCGGGATCAAAGAACACAGACTCGGAAAGCAGTGTGATAAGACAACATCGAAATGTCTTTCTGTGATAAAAAAAAAAAGGGGACATCTTTTAAAAACGATAAGTGAGATGTTTTTCTATCAGAGGAACAAGGGACTGAATATTTTTCGAGCCACGAATGATTGGGTGAATTTTCAGAAGTCGGCAGCTTATGGGAAACAAGTTTGGTCAAGAGTAGTTGGTCCAATACTTCATCAGCTCCTTCCATGTCGGAAAATAATTAGATGATTTTCTAGAAGCTATATGTGTGCGTTGGTTTGGTTAGGAGCAGTTGGGTCAAAGTTTTCTCAGCATGCCATAGATTAGTTTATTTCTTTTATGCAAAATCAGAAACCCCATCATTCGAAGTCTTCTGGAAATCGCTTTTTAACCCGTCGTGGAATACCGTATGTTATTGGCTTAGGCGATTATATATCTCATGCATAGCATGTTTGTTTTATGCCAGTAGACAATAAGTGGACAAGAAGAAATTGCTATTCACGAGACCAAACTGCCCTAAGTGGTCACAGCAGACGACGAAAACCAAGTAGGCTTGCGTTATTACGCAAGGCTAAGAAAATCAACAGAATTTCAACTTAGCTACGGTTCTGGAACTGTCAGATAGTCGATAAACACTATACGACCATCTTCAACAATAGAGAACCGTGGCGAAACTGCGAATGGGTGATGTGATGGGACCTACATGACACGTGGTTGCATGCAATCAATCTACGTGTGCAGTTGTCGATGGCAAGCAAAAGAAAAATTAAAAAAGTGGTCATGGTCTGATGAACGGATAGGTCATCTGTTT